TCACAGCTACTTTGAACTGCTGCCATCTGGAAAACATTATGGGACGTTTTGGTTCCGAACCCCGTGACAGGAAAAGCTTTGTGCCAAAGGCAATACAGTCCAGCAACCATAATGAACAAAGGGTACTGTCTTACAACTACTACATACTTCACCTGAGAGCTTCACATATGTAACAATTTTACCTTTTCGGGTATTTTATGATAGGGAGTTGGGGGACAACCGATAGGTATCGGCAGTCCAGGCAAAATTCGTGGAGGCCATGGAAAAACAGCATTTTACAGTCCAGTTATACTGGTTTGCTTTAACAGACTCCAGTGAGTTGTACATTTCCTGTCACTAATGTAAATCACAAAAGACTCTAAGCCATCCTTGTTATTTTATTTCACATACATCCCTTTCCAGCCCAGGACCCTGAGCTACAGGTAAAAATTTGAACAGAGACATGGTTTACACTATGGAACGGTAATCCTACAAAACTTTCTCTAATATCCTGTTTTTTTCACATCACTGCTGTACCTGGGTGGCAGATGAGAAGTAGACAGACAGGCTGAGTGACACAGTTGAGAATAGTTTCATTGAGAAGTTGAAATCAAATCAAACTAATGACTTCATGGAATTAACTTTAATTCCAAGGTTACAGCAGGAGAGTTGCAATTGAATAATAAAGATGCTCTTGTGCCGCTGACTGATGCATTTCTCTCACATGCAGAGGTTAATTTCTATGTTTCTCTATGGCCTCCAGCAGCTGCCGGATTATCCCCCTGAGCCTGTGTCCGATTAAGCTTTTAAAAGCCGGCATGAACTGTCCATTTTTTAATAACCATGTCACATCAAGGGTACAAATCTCCATCACCCAATGCCTTTCATCTGCATGCTTTTTTCAAGCAGCAGTCATTATTATAAACCTATATTGTGCAACAAAGCAATCTTTAAGTGATAAGAAGCACTGCAGCTCTAAATTATCTAAATGTTACCAGTACATAAAGTTACAAACCAACTAGACTGGACTTCACCCTATTAGCTTTCCACAATGAAGACCATATTCTACCTTTTTATGAATGGATCACTTCATGTCCAGACAGTGTGTATGTGCTAGTTGTTGTTTTATACCTGACTGTATATTGTTTGCTACTATTTTTAGATTAACATTTAGGGTTTTTGATGCACCGCCAACAGCCCAAATCATTACCACTATGGAAAAATTAGCTACAAGCGAAACACTTCTATTTGTCCACCACACTATTGGCATCATGTGACACCTCCTGTGTTCTGCCTAATTTCCACCATAGAAACTTTTCCCATTATACCATTGTACCCCAGTTCTATTGACATTGATTGGAGTTCACATATAGAGGGGGGGGAATCAGTTATCCTTTTCCGTCTCAGAATAATATAATTAAATGTCATTCATATAGTGCTAACTCAAAACAAATTACGTCTCTAGGCACATTTATAATTCAGTCCAATTCAAGCCAGTTATAATCCAATTCTTTCAAATAACACAGAGGCACATTAAACAATCATACATCATCAAGCAAAAGTAAATACTGAAAAGTAATAATTTGACCAAAAGTGCTTTCCCTTTGTTTGGATATGTCATACAGACCTCTTTATAAAGCCATCCTCATACTAAACAAAAATGTCCCAGTTTTCTTTGTTGTTGTTGTTTTTTCACATTTTGAAGTGCTTGTATAAGAATTGTGGCTACATTTCTTCCTCTGCTTCTGCTTCTTTCTGCCTGTAAAAGAAATACGTCAACATTTCTTTCACAAGCACTTCCAAATATGACAGTGAAAGAGAGAAGACATTTGTGATTGTAATGGGCTACCATAACTTTTGAGCTCAAAATAAAATCCTAAGAGGAACCGTTGCCAACATGATTTTTCATCGCCCCCAGGTACCAGACTGTCTGACGCCCTCTCAAAAACAAGTATGGATGGCCTCTACTTGAACTTTGGTCTGCCATTCAGTCCTAAGCTCCAATGCAGGGCACCGAAGAATTATAGACTTGTAATTAGATGTATTATTTATATTATTGGCTTTGTATATTAACCCTATCTATCTATCTATCTATCTATCTATCTATCTATCTATCTATCTATCTATCTATCTATCTATCTATCTATCTATCTATCTATCTATCTATCTATCTATCTATCTATCTATCTATCTATCTATCTATCTATTTGGTTTAATACGTATAAATACAAATTGAGATTGACCTTGCAATTTTCATTTCAGAAATAATTACATTTTATTAGTTTTATTAATTACGCCACAGACCAAAATATGCAACTGATTAACCAAAAGTAGTTCTGTTGGACAGTGCAAGATTGTAAACATATTTCTTTTGGGAGTCCCGATATTTCAACTCTAGGCAAGAGGATTTTTGTAGAGACGTCTAAGTACCAGATACACGGTGCCCTACCTGTGTAGGATTATTGTTCATTTTGGCAGCAAACATTTCTCACAATACTTTGTCCTAATATACTGTCTGGCCATATGTTATGAGCTAGATCTCTTAGTACAGCCCTGGATATCCACTGTGCCCGTGGGACATTATACAGCTTTAATTTCAGTGTAAAACTGCAGGAAACAACAGCAGGGTCATGAATTATCTCTGGGAGTTATATTGTTCAGAAATCCCGGTATGACATAAATCTTTTATCAGTGAGAAATGACAGCGATGAATAAACTAAATGTTAACAGTAAATAAAGCTGTAGTCAGTCAGTTAGTCCAAACTAACTGACAAACAGCATTTAAACAGCATTTACTTTATGTGATACAGTATTTAGAACCACTGGTAATACATTCCTGTCTGTATTTATAGGCACCTCAGATGGGTGGACTGTTACACTTGTACAGCATTTTATTTCACTCCATTCCGATTCCTAACTCCTGTAATCAAGTTGAATCAAAGATGTGTTGTGATAGCACATCAAGTGACAAAATGCATTACTTTAATGATGTATTAATAACCTATAAATTCCAAAGAACTGGACAACACAAAATAATGTTTGAGAGATCGCAAAAGTGATCCGTAAAATATAATTAGAAGCACTTGTCACACCCAAACACACATCAGACATCAGAGTGGAGAGTAGATGCATTTGTGTGTGTTTTGGAAGTAAAGCTAAAGCTTTCTGTTTTGCCTCATACAACCAGCAAGATTTAAGATTAAAAAAGGTACAGCAATGCACTTTGCACATGTGAAGGCACTTAGTGAACTGCATTTGCACAGGCAGGAAAATGTTCAAATAACACAGTGCACAACACGGACGTATTGTCAGCAGATTCTGAGAAGTCATGGCTGTGCATGGTAAGTTTCCCCACTGAGAGGTTACCCAGCGAGGATTGTTGACGCACATCTGACAAATGGATTATTGCTCCGGATTATTGTTTGCTGCAGGAAAGGAAACACTGTTGACGGGAAAAATACATTTAAGCTTTTATTTGCATGAATGTTTCCAAGGATGGATACTGTAAAACACTTTCATCCCAAGGGCTAAACTCCGGGTAGCCAGCAAAGACTCTTACAAATGTTCATCGGTAGAGTAATATGAAAATGCTTTAGAGCTGCTCAGTGAGGGCAACGAGGCTGCAGAGAAGATAATTTTTATTAAATATTTTAGGTATGATAGCTGCGACAAGCCTTAGATGTGACAGAGGGGAAAAAAAACAAACAGAGAAACAGATCTAAATGAATGCATGTAACATGCAACCAATCCCAATCACACAGACATACCCACAAAGGCATTTTGTGTAATGAGGTTAAATTGCATTTGCATTCTTTTAAAAGCAGATTTCATTCTAAGAGCAAACATGAGCTTTACATGCAGATTTAAAAATCATGGTGGATTACAGAGCATCGCTGGCCTCTACATAATCCAAACTAAAAGTGGAAAAGACCTGTTGGCAGTTTGACTGCTCTCATCAGAGCAAGTGAGGTGTAGTGCTGATTCTTCTTTCCCATTGATACGCACCACAAAAATATTGTTCACATCCATAATCAAACCTTAATGAAGAGCATTTTCCAAAAAAAACAAAAAGAACATTTATTTTAAATCGGAACAGATGGGTTTTTTTTTATATATATTCTCCAGGGATATTCTATAGGAAGTACTACAAACAATACACCTGTGTGCAAATGTTGCGTTCAGGTATCGATAAAAGCTCTGTAAATCGATGCTGAAATATTGTCCTCATGCAGTTCATCATCATTTTGGATTGTGGTCAGGGATTACTGGCTGTGTGAGAGCAGTTTGGCTGGAATTTGACTCTCCTCTTTGCTTTAAAGATTAGTGCATAATACTGCTGTAGCGTCGGGAATTCTGAAGGTGATTTGATTGTGTAGCTTTGAGCTACCAGATGCTACTCCGCTGCAGGACATCAAGTCACATGGATCTTTTGATGACTGAAACAGGCTTTGAAATGCCGTTTGCTCCAAATTTCAATGGGAAATCTTGATTCTGTTATTGTTCCGCAGGATGCGTGGGAAGTTTCAAGTAATGCATGTAAAGATGAAAAGACATGGGGGAGAGGGAAACGGCAGCTTTATAAAAGTGATGTAGTTGTTTGTGATTTTGATTGCTTTCATCCAGATTTCCTTTCTAACCAGCTGAACTGTTATTTTTACGTCATGAAAAAGTAACTCCAAACAGAAAGAAAGCATTAAATGAGAAATTCTGGGGTAAAATGCAGAGTCTGACCACAATTTAGAGGTTTATTAAAGGAATCATAATAAACTGTGGCGCTTAATTCTGTCAGTTTAAACTCTGAAAACTATAAGAGACTGTTTTAAATAATAGTCTATATCAAATACAACTTGTCTTTTGTCAGTGAGGAACAACTTAAAACAACTAATTATGGACAGAAAGAAGAAATTTTAAGTGTGAATAAAAACATCTGCAACACAAAACCAAATCACATCCTAATATGGTGACTTAAAATTGAGAAAGAGTGGAATATCATGCTACTGACTGTTATTTTATTGTTTCAGGTGATGGAAACCCCAAAGAGAGCAGCCCTTTCATCAACAGCAGCGCAGCCACAGATGTGGAAAAAACCCAGCAGTATGATGGCAAGAACATGGCTCTGTTTGAGGTGGGGACAATTCTCTCTGGTGTTGTAAGGTTAGAAATATGAATGTGTGTGAGTGTCAGTCTTACATAACTGTGTTAAGACATATAGTATTTACATACACAAAACACATAAGAGACATGTCAAATGTTTGAAATTATGGCATTGCTCGTTTGCAATTACATATGTTTGTTCACAGGAGGAGATCGACACCAGTCCAATGGTTTCCTCTTTGCTCAGCACTCTAGCCAACTACTCCAACCTCCCAACTGGAAGCAAAGAGCATGAAGAAGCAGAAAACAATGAGGAGGGGGCGCGTCCATCTAAAAAGCCTGTCAAGGTAAACCGCTCCATCAGCTCTGGGGCAATGTTAACTGGACGAGCAACATTCCTGTATGTGAGGTGATAGAGTAATTGTCTTGATTTACACAAAAATCCTAGAAAAATTTCTAATGCTTATGTGTACTATCATTTTTAGCAATATTTGCTCATTTGAATTTGATATACAAATACATAGCTGGGATAGTGGGCACAGATTGGAACAACAGTGCAGAGAAAATCGACAATTAAATGCAAAATAAGTGAAAAGGACTTTTTAAGCAGATTCTGAGTTACAATAATGCTTTTGAAACCAAAGCAAAGTCTACCAAAGGATGCTGCAGTGCATGACATTTCTGGGTTACTCATATTTTTCTTGATCAAGAGTCTGTATAAAGTTATGGCCACAAACGTGTCACCTGAACAAAGATTAAAAAAAAAAAGAAGAACCAGTCATCTGCCACTTTGTACATCAGAAGGTCACATTTCGGAAGCAAAGAGCTTGCCTTTCTCATTACCATGGTAATCCACTGTGTCATTGTGTTAGAAAAAGGAATAATCCTCTTTCTTTTGAAAATCCGAAAGTCACAAAAGCAGAATAATAGACAGAGAATGAAAAAAAAGCTGACTGATTGTAACCCTCATTTCAAACCTTTCTTCTGTCATGTAATATGAACAACATGAAAATGAGACCTGAAGACTTTTCATTCATCACATCAGGCGTTGTGGGTGTGTGTCTGTGTGTGAATGTGTATTTTCCAGGCACCTCAACTTGGCACGCTGATGGGAGTGTACCTGCCATGTATCCAGAACATATTTGGGGTGATCCTCTTTTTGCGGATGACTTGGATGGTCGGAATTGGAGGCGTGTTTGGCTCTTTCATAATCGTCTTCATGTGTTGCTCTACAGTATGTTAACATTTTATAAAAAATATACCTGTTAATACTGCTTGTTTAAAATGTTGGTCAAATGTATTTCTTTTAAATTGACATTTGTTTGGAAAGATTGATGGGTACTGACTGCAAAGGTTTGGTGATTTACCTTCATGTGAAAAGGTGTGACGTGGTGGGAAATTCTTCTGAAACACGGGGCAATAAAAGTGTCAGGAATTCAAAATGCTTTGACTTTCATGAAGATAAATTGTGTTTCAGTGCGTGACTCCCAGTCTCATAGCAGACGCCATCAGTGTGGAGACATGCTAAGATAGAGGTGTTGCTATCAATACAAAGAAAAATATAAGATATATCAAAATGAGCCTGTTGTCCTACTGAATGTTTTCTCTGTATATCATCTTATAATCTAGTTTAAGAACTCTGTTCCAGCAGTAACTAACTTTGACAGCTCACCTGCTACTTCCCATATCAATCTTCTGATATCTGCTGCTGTTTACAGACCATGCTCACAGCCATCTCCATGAGTGCCATTGCAACAAATGGAGTCGTACCAGGTAACAGCCTTCCTGAGAGCTTATATTAGTTTGTTTGTGTTTACTGAAATAGCACAATTTAATCTATGTCTGTTTGTTGCTCACAGCTGGAGGCTCATATTACATGATTTCGCGGTCTCTTGGGCCTGAGTTCGGTGGGGCAGTTGGGATTTGCTTCTACCTGGGCACCACATTTGCTGGTGCTATGTACATTCTTGGCTGTATTGAAATTCTGCTGGTATGTGGATTTTCTGAAATAATTTCTTCATACTTCAACACTTCTTCATCAAACCGTTCAACACTCTGTTTCCTCTTTTTCATTATTCCATCGAATGTCTCATTTTCCCTGCTGTTCTCTGTTACTCCACTCTTTCAGATTTACATCGTTCCTCAGGCAGCCATCTTTAAGATCGAAGGACTGGAAGGAGAAGAAGCAGAATTGGCTTTGCTGAACAATATGAGGGTGTATGGCACTATTGTGTTGAGCTTCATGGCGCTGGTGGTGTTTGTGGGGGTCAAATATGTTAATAAACTGGCACTACTCTTCCTGGCCTGCGTCATCCTCTCGATTCTGGCTGTTTATGCTGGAGTCATCAAGACAGCCATAGACGCCCCTGTCTTTCCGTAAGTGACACTCTTACTCATGGGTCACTGGCCCTCTCTGAGGATAACATTTGTTGCATGATGACAAAGATTGTTTTTCTTGTTGTCTTTGCAGTGTCTGCCTCTTGGGAAATCGAACTGTTGTCTCTAAAGCATATGACATCTGTGCAAAGGTTATAGAAATAGACAATGAGACCATCACCACCAAGCTGTGGAGGTCCTTCTGTGATTCTGACTCGCTGAATGCTACTTGTGATGATTACTTCATCAACAACAACATCACAGAGATACAGGGCATCCCAGGGGTCACTAGTGGTATCTTAGCAGGTGGGTCTGTCATTGAAATATCTTTCTATGGTTTATCAGAGCCATGCTTTTATGCCAGCTAAATTAACCTCAATGCTAATTTAGCTTATTGACTCATTTTATATGTTTTTGTCTCCCTTTCTATTGCTGCCAGAGAATCTGTTTGGAAACTATCTTGAAAAGGGGGTGATCCTGGAGAAGCGAGGGCTTGCATCTAAAACAGATCCTGATAGTCCCACACTAAACAGTAATCGTTACGTCCTGGCTGACATTACAAGCTTCTTCACCCTGCTGGTGGGGATTTACTTTCCATCTGTAACAGGTCAGCATTAATCATGCAGTTGAGATCTATAGCCAGCATAATTCCATGTATTTGATATTACTCACCTAATAGGAAAAACACGGTTTTCCACAGAAGCAGAAAAAGGAAGTAAAAGTTCCAGGAACACTTCTTGATCTGGAAAATTTTGCACCTTACTATATGATGCTTGAAGAGAAAATTAATGTTATATTGGCTGAGTCAGCTTTTTTATTTGATACACAAGTGCTGTTCATTCAATGAAAACCTATTAGACTTTTATTCAAAACATTAAAGAAAATATGCAAAAGAAAAGAAAGTGTTATATTTTAAATATTCCATAGGGAGTTTGCATGTTCTTCCTGTGTCTGCGTGGGTTTCCTCTGGAAAGTATGGCTTTCATCCAACATCCAAAAACACTCTCAATTACCCGTAGAAGCAAACGTGAAGTGTGTGTGGTTTTTTGTCACTGTTCTGCGATGGACTAGCGACCGTTCCAGGGTGTACCCTGCCCCCCAGCCATTCTCGGCTGTGATCAATGTCTATATAAGAACGTCATTATTGTTGTTAAAAAAGGCATGGGGTATAGAAGTGACGGATAGAAAAACCATTCACATCTTCCTCATAACGGTATGAAAGTCTAAAGCTTAGTATGATTTTGCTCCACTCAGGTATTATGGCTGGCTCCAACCGTTCTGGTGACCTGAAAGATGCCCAGAAGTCAATCCCGATAGGCACAATAGCAGCCATCACCACCACATCGATTGTGTGTATGCTTCATGCTTTACTGAGCCAAAGCTTATGAAATGGAAACTATCTATGAGGCTGATTGATAATGTGGATTATCTTCACCATGTATGGATGTATTTGTGCCAAATATTCTCAGCCATGTTTTCCTTAACTATTTTTTCCCAGACATGTCATGTGTGGTGCTGTTTGGTGCTTGTATAGAAGGAGTAGTACTTCGAGACAAGTAAGCCTGTAGATTTGTAGACCTCAAATATATCAGATTATGATATTTTGTCCATATTCAAGTCAACCACATCTGATGGACTGGCCGCTCTAATTCATCCATATATAAGATTTCCCAACATCTTGTGATGTCTAGTGTTTCTTTATATGTATAGTAACACTTAGAGCTTGTGGCATTTTAGCTTTGAGTTCCCATTTTCTTTCTTAAGGTTTGGTGAGGGGGTGAATGGTAACTTGGTGATTGGCACACTGGCATGGCCGTCTCCATGGGTCATTGTGTTTGGTTCCTTCTTTTCCACTTGTGGAGCGGGACTTCAAAGCCTGACAGGAGCTCCACGTCTGCTTCAGGCCATCTCAAGAGATGGCATCATTCCCTTTCTTAGAGTACGTGCATGTGTACTGTAACATTCAGACACATTGTTGACACATTGAATATTTTAAACCTGTCATAATCACAGTTAAACAAAAGATGTTTTAGCAATTCTTGCATTTTAATTTGCTCTGCACAGCAGGAACAAATATCCAATCATTAAAATCCTACCATATAAGTAATTTTTTCCCCATTGCAGGTTTTTGGACATGGCAAAGCCAACGGGGAGCCCACTTGGGCGCTCTTACTCACGGCTGGCATCTGTGAGATTGGCATCATCATCGCTTCCCTGGATGCTGTCGCCCCCATCCTCTCCATGTAAGAAGAACAGGGCATGTTCCCCTTCTGAAAGCAGCCCTTCTTCTTAACGTTCTCTAACATTCCTGTTTTTCTTCACTGGCTTTCTCTTTTTTGAAGGTTTTTCTTGATGTGCTACATGTTCGTCAATCTTGCCTGTGCGCTACAGACACTCCTGAGAACCCCAAACTGGAGGCCACGATTCAAGTTCTACCATTGGTGAGTTTGTGTACCACTTAATAATTGACATTATCATCACCACTTTTTTTACCTATATATATACATATAATTATTTATGTATATATTTATCTATATTCTATGTGGAATTTTCTGATTCTGATTCTGATTCTGATTATGACTCCCTTCATGTAGAGTATGCTGTTGAAATGATGTGGCATTGATTGACCTGCAAGGCTCTGGTCAGTTTAACCAAAAAGACACATCGATTAGAGGATTAAAGTTTCTACTTATCTTTAGTTTGGAAGATCACTCAGTCTTTCCTGCATTCGAAACAAACAACAAACATTAAGTCTCCAGCAAGACCAAATCGGCTTAAAATGCTCACCAGATCTTCATGCACCTGAATCATCATGGCAGAAGCTAACGTTGAGTTAATGCAGCTAATTTAATGGAGCGAGTTAATGGAGCAAACTCCTGAATTAGATTAAATGCATTTTGCAAGCTGTGGTCATTGTTGTAGTTCAGCCAGCAATGTAAAGCTGGTAAAAAAAACTTATGTCTGAACATGTGATGTCCTGTCACCCACAGGGCTCTGTCCTTCCTGGGTATGAGCCTGTGCTTGTCCCTGATGTTCATCTGCTCCTGGTATTACGCCATGGTCGCCATGGGCATTGCCACATGCATTTACAAATATATCGAGTTCTGTGGGTAAGTGATCGGAACAGCACAGAACTCTTGAATCATCATCCTGCGCAACAGGTCATGTGCTTACTATAAGTGTGCTGCAGGGCTGAGAAAGAGTGGGGTGATGGGATACGTGGCATCTCGCTCAGTGCTGCCAGATATGCTCTGATGAGGCTGGAGGAGGGACCACCGCATACCAAGAACTGGAGGTCAGCTTACCTCAGATTCAGAATTTAGAAGGAATGTTTTCTGATGGGTTTTTGTCTGTGGAAATCTCACTGTGTTGTTATCCTGTGACGATGTCTTTATTTACGATAAGACCTCAGATGCTGGTTTTGGTGAGTGTGGATGCTGAGCAGAATGTGGAGCAACCCCGTCTGCTGTCTCTGACCAATCAGCTGAAAGCAGGCAAAGGTTTAACCATCGTTGGTACCTCTGTTCAAGGAACCTTCCTCGACAATTATAATGAAGCCCAGAGGGCAGATCAGGTCTGTAACTTCATTTAGAGTCATACACAATGAATTCACAATATTCTGGGAGCGTCAACACACACATTACTAAAGAACAGGTGGGGCATTCTCTGATAGCTGCCTTCTTGTGTCTCTTTGCATCTGCAGTCATTGCGGAAGTTGATGGAGGCAGAGAAAGTTAAGGGTTTCTCTCAGGTGGTCATCTCCTCCAATCTTAGAGATGGAACGTCCCACCTGGTCCAAGTTGGAGGACTGGGAGGTCTGAAGCATAATACCGTGATGGTTAGCTGGCCCTTGAACTGGAAACAACCTGAGTTCTATCAGCAATTTAGGAATTTTATTGGTTAGTAAACAGGTGACATGAAAGACTGAATACCTACAATGTTTGAAAATTATTGTTCTTTCCAAACTGTTTTATTTCTTATAAATGTGAATTTGGTTCGGGATGCTTTATTTGTTCAAGTCATTTTGATCACAGATCAACCATCTGACTGTTTAAAAACATTACATCGACATTTTAATCTTTTAGTACAGTCTAGATACATATGAAGTACTTCGAGCGCTCTTGAAAGATTTTAACATGTTTGAACCAACTAAGTTCTAATAGATGAAAATGCATGTTTATTTATACATCATCAAAAAAGAGAATATCATCTCACAAAGAATGCAGACAGGGTTTTTTCTTTAAGAGCACTCATCACCGAGGTTTATGAATCTTTATCAGAATTGCCTGCTTAAAAAGCAGTATGAATTTTGTGACACCTCACATTGTTTAATGCATTTAGCTGTATCATGAGCTGATTTTTTAAACAAATGTATCATATCATCATCTCTTTTTCAGAGGTGGTTAGAGAGACAACAATTGCGAGTTTGGCCCTTTTGGTTCCTAAAAATATCTCCAGTTACCCATCCAATGGAGAGCGCTTCACTGAAGGCCACATAGATGTGTGGTGGATTGTCCATGATGGAGGCATGCTGATGCTTCTGCCATTCCTGCTGCGCCAACATAAGGTGGGGGGAAAAAATACCAATGAAGGGATAATTGTGACTTTGTGAGGGGGACTGCACCAGTATAAGGAAGTGTTAAAATTGTGTGCCACAGGTTTGGAGGAAGTGCAAGATGCGCATTTTCACTGTAGCACAAATGGATGACAACAGCATTCAGATGAAGAAAGACCTCATCACCTTCCTCTATCACCTGCGCATCGATGCGGCTGTGGAAGTGGTGGAGATGGTAAGATTTTTTTGACATATCAAGGGTCCACAAAGAAACAATTCCAGGAAAGAAACTCTTCTGGAAATGGCGTAAAACAAGTTTTGATTTTCTCCCATACACCAAAAATTTTCCCTGATTCCAACAGCATATGAACTTAGCTTCCGTATGACACGTGAAATGTTTTCCACCTCCAGCATGAGGGCGACATCTCGGCTTACACCTACGAGAAGACTCTGATCATGGAACAGCGATCTCAGATCCTTAAACAAATGCATCTGACCAAGAATGAGATGGAGAGAGAGGTATGAGTAAGACATTCTTTTTTAGCAGTTTCATTATCACTGTCTGTCTTTAAATAATCACTCTTAAGCGGGGATGGTGTCCGAAGAACAGGAGAATTTGATGGGCTTCAAAGGGAAAATTAAAATTCTGATTTTCTTTCTTTTTTCTTTTCAGATCCAAAGTATTACAGATTCATCTCGTGGTTCAATCCGGCGTAAAACCCCCTCCACCTTGCATCCCCATCATAGTGCAGAAGAGGGAGCCAGTGTTGCAGAAAAACCAGAGGATGAGGTAATCCAGCTTTGGCCTCTGGAAAAGACCATTTTCCTGCACTCCCACCATGTCTGTTTTTTTTCTGCTCGCGTTTGGTCCATCATGTGGCACAATTGCTCCATACCAAGAGCAGCTTTCACTGCAATGATGGACACTTTCTTCTTGCTAATCAGTGATTTATCTTTAACTTCCAGTAGTTCACCTTTTACTGACAGGTGTCTCTTTTCACTTTTTCACCCTGTCATGCTGTCATGTTGCGTGTTTGTCTCTCAGTCTGAGGCTGTCTCCAACCCAAAACAGGTACAGCTGATTCAAAGTAAGGATGCCACCACGCCCACAAGTCCCACAAGCCCCACAAGTCCCACGACACCCGCTGCCCCTCCTGCAGGAGCCGCATCCAAGGGGAAGACACAAGCCGCCACGCCAGAGCCAATCAAAGACCTCTTTAATATGAAGCCGTGAGTCACATTGCTGCTTCATCCAGCTCAGAGCAGCACAGGAAGCTGACACAACACACTGCACATGACATGACTCGACTGGGAGACCTGTTCAGACTGACAAATGTTTTTTAGAATAATTTTTTCAAACTCCATCAACACTTCTCTTTTCTCTGTTTGTTTCTTTCTCTGTTCCGTTTTGCCTGTTGATTGTTACCCACAGGCCAAAGAATAAAGATGGTGTGTAAAAAAACAGCCATGATCAGCCATCATCCCAAGCTGCAAAACAATCGCAATTCTTTTTTGTTTGTTTTTCCTATGGAAAATTAAAGATACAGAAAAAAACAGAAAAACCAAACTGCTGCATCTACACACTCATGACTAAGCCTTTCAATTTCCATGGTAGTAAAGCTACAAATGTAGGAATATTTACTCATCAAAACAGAGAAAGGGCGAATAATCAATGGAACTCACAGTAAAGCTCGGTAACGAGACTTTCAGTCTTGATTCAGTTTAAATATGTCTGTTTCATGTAGAAATTTTTCATGTAACTGGTAATCAGAGAGACCAATATAATACTGACAAAGATTAATGTTCTTTCTTCTGATCATGCTGCAGGGAATGGGAACACTTGTAAGTAGAAACATTTTGTACAGACAAGCTCATTTAGATTAGCATAAGCGGGTGATATGTAGGCAAGACCCTGTGTGACTTGATGTTTTCTACATTAGAAACCAGGTTGATGTGAGGCGCATGCATACAGCTATGAGGTTGAATGAGGTCATCATGAAGAAGTCCAAGGAGGCTAAACTTGTCCTGCTCAACATGCCTGGACCACCGAAGAACCGAGTTGGTGATGAAAACTGTATCCTTCTCCTCCCTTTCTGTTTTCCATGTTTTTTTCTTTCTGTTTTCTGTCTGTTTACACGTATTGGCTAAGGGAATTTTCTCAGTAGAAGAAAAGTTTTTTGGAAGACTGGAATCATGGCAGCCTGAATGCAGTGTTTATTCATTGAAATCGTAATAACATATTTGTTGTACTGTTTCACAACGAGCAGCATAAGCATGTAGAAGAAGAAGATGTAGGATAGAAGGTAACGATTCATTTTTTGACAGCATGAGTTAAAAAAAAACAAGTGCTAAAGATCAGTCCTTCACTCGAAAACTTCTCAGACATGGAGTTCCTTGAGGTGCTCACTGAAGGTCTCAATCGGGTCCTCCTTGTGCGTGGTGGAGGACGTGAAGTCATTACCATCTACTCCTGAGGGGCTTTTGACAGCATGTTTAACGCTGGCCTCCCTCCTCCTTTATCATTCCAGGAAACTCCATCAGACTCTATCTGCTGTATCTGTAACCTTTAAACCTGAGAGTAGTAGAAACAATTTTAAGTTGGTCCAAAAAAAAGTCTGTTGAAGGAAAATGAAAGCTTGTGAGGAAATCTTTTTTATTTTATTTATTTTCTCTTTTTGTTCAAGATTCTGCTTTCAAACATTTCCTCCAGCGTTCCAAAGGAATATTCTTTTGGTCTAATTTTTACTTATTTTATATTATTTGGTGTCAGTGTTGCGTATTTATTCCCCTTGTCATTTTTGTCAATCCTTTTTTTGTCTGTCAACAACACCAGTAAGTCCAGAACGCCCTGGATTAATATAATTCACTGTGTTAGATAGAACCTTACTGTGTTCTTGTGTATATTCACACTCAGCAGGAATACAACGGATTTGTTGTATTTCAGCAGCAGAAGTGACGGAGGGTCCCATATAGGGCCAGAAGGCCAGACTTTTCATAGTATATTCTTTGTGTAGGCTAAACTGATTTCACTTTTCGGTTCAACAGACATCAGACACTGGTGTATATGTAAAGTATAATGCATCACAGATTATACGAACATTTAAACATCAAATTTGGCTCAGACAGGGATTTTAAATGATGTGATCTTCAAATATATATATAAATGTATGTATATGTTTTATTATGATTAGTGTATGAATACAAATAGTTTTTTCATCCTTTCCCTCAATGTTTTGGTTTGAAGATCGACATCTCTCACTTATTAACCAGAATTATGATGAAATAGCTTGTCCAAAGGTAACTCATCTGCTGGTCTAAAGCTTACCAGCACACAGCTGCCTATCTGATGCTGACATGAAGCTTAAAGAGGACATATTCAGTCTTTGGGATGACACATTGATTTGAATGTGATAATAATAAATATTTAGCATATACAGAGTGTGTAAAAGTCAATGAATATTGTTTTTTATATTTTGTGCAATGCATAATCACAACTACCTAGGCAGACAGAAATGATGTTCCTGATCGTTCATTCACATGCATTGTCTATTATCAAATATCTGTGTAGGACATAACAATGTGAGGCGTTTCCATTTTCATTTTTCAATTAATGTATCACTTAAATTATCTTATGTAGAAATAATGCAACCAAATGTTTTCAGAAATTTGATCAATCTTCCACTTCAGCCTGATGGACTTTTGATTTGTTCACTGTATGGAACCATTTCAATTCTGGGATGTTTTTTGGTTTAATCATCTGTGTTTCTCCCTCAATGTGTTTATTAATTTGAAATCAGGGAACTGGCAATTTCCAAACTTTTTTTCTTTGTTCTTTGGGAAAAGCTGTCATCTTCTTTGAGATGTTTTACATAAATGATGTGACACTCTCTTGGCCCATTAACAAAAGCAAAAGGAGCTCAAACTTTTGAAGATCAGAGTACATTACTTACTCCAGAGTAGTTTACCAAAAATGGAAGGAGTGTTTTTAGTGCATATGGGTTGGGAGGGAGGATTTTGTGTAAACTTGGCTGTATAATATGGTCGTTTTGATTTCTTCTTTTCCTTGGCCTGTCCTTCAATATTTTGTTCATATTACTTGTAACTCTTCAAATATCATTCCATTTATTTTGCACGTTATTTATCATAACATTGCATTCAGTGTGCAGAACTTCTTCGCCTCATAGTGTCATTTTAAAAGTGAATCCCCTGGTCAGTAGTCTGGAGAAATATAGTCAACTCCTTCAGTCAGAGTGCTTATATGTGTGTTTGTGACTCACTGTTTCACTGAGGATAACAGATTTTTATTATGTTAAAGAGATGTATGACAGAGCTAAGAGGACTATTTCTATGAAGATCTGTGATTAAAAATAATATATAGCAAATTAGTTTTAACAAAGGTTTTATAGATATTTAATATTAAGTTTTTAATGTCTGAAAATCTTACAAAGTTTATGTTATGTTGAAGAGGTATTTTGCATTCATGGCTAATGGTTAGTGGTTGGAGAAAAAAACATTTTATATGTATGCACCAAACTTTTAAAATAAGACTTAAAAGTATTGGTAATTTTTCTGCTCACGTTTGCTGCATTTGTTGCATGTATAACTGACAATAAACAAGGTGAGAGGCAGCTATAGTTTATCTTTGTAGCATTTGAGTTCCGCAATTCTATCCCATGACCATTTCTCATGATGAGGTAAATCTGCTCATGATAGGGTGAATCTGTATGAAATATAGGAACCACATAACCCAAATTGTGTAAGGTCATGTACAAATTGAAAAGTTAAAACACATTGTCTTAATATTAAACCAACATTGAATTATATTGTACCCTGCCTCTCGCCCATTGACTACTGGGATAGGCTCCAGTTCTCCCCGCGACCCTATTAGGGAATAATAATAATATAATTAATGAATTAATTATATTAACCTTTCAACATTAGCAAGGACCGTTTCACTGATAAGTACTGAAAGAATATCAGTTGTGTCATTCACAGAAAGAGCATATAGCACAGAGTACACAGTTCTTCTTGCTTCTGCTGTGATGCCTGTCTTGTTTGCATTAACTTTTTGTCATAGCTATATAGTTCATCTGATTGCCCAAGTGTACAAATATGATCTCTGGAACATATGGGCTGTCCGACTTCCTGGTTCTGAAGGTGATACTCAGCAGAACTCCACAGCAGTTGTATAAATGACAGATGATCTTGCAACATCAACAATAAAATGACAGAAGCTTCTGAATATGTTAACATGTTGAACTGTTCAAATGCACTGAAGAGCAGAAATGGCATAAATGATCACAAAACCATAGTCTTAGAGTCTTCTTCTTTCTTTTAAAAACATTTATTTTACATGTAAGTAGAACCTAAAATTTTTCAGGAAGAGTTGTTTTGTTATACTTGCAGCCATTTAAGATTTATGCCATTACCATTCCCATGTAATAAAATTTGAAATGGGACAAACTGTCTTTTGGTTGTGGTCAGTATGCACACCTGCACCATGAGTGTTTCCCTCAAATGGAAAAAAATCACACTGGACCTTTAAATTAGTCATTGTCACATTCCACATCTCACCTATTCCTGTAATAAACATATTTCCACATTTTCATATCAAGTTTAGTTAGTCAAGACACAACAGAGCTTGTAAAGAGGAATTTGATAACTCTTTTCTGGTTTGAAAAATCTTTTGACGTGTTTTGCAGTATCAAAGTCTGACCACTTTAGTTTGACATTCCTGTCATGCAAATTTCAGTGGATTGCAGAAGTATTTCACTTTGATGGAGGTGAATGAATGGATAACTGCTAACACTTGGAATACCAATTCTTTGACATCACAGACACAAATAGTGTAAAAAACATGATTTCAACTACTAAAAGTGCTCATATTTCAAAACCTTTTTATTACCAGGGACAAAGTCTGCAGAGTTTTATTTATCTGGGAGGAGAACAGTGCTGTGCTTGTCTGAGTGACATCAATGTGGACCAATTTTTTTGACCTGTCTTATCTGAACAGACATAATCCAGGCAGCCGAAGAAAATAACACTATTTGCTCCTAATAATTTTCAGAATGAAGATGCGGCCGGCCAACCTTCGAGTGAGGTTTCCTGCGTTTGTGTTCGTCTCTGAGGTGATTTTTGTTGCCCTTTATGCTGCCTTTGTTACCCATGATGAGCATTCAGATGCCAGAGACCAACCAGACAGACCCAATGCAAAATGCAGTGTATAGGGACTACCCCTTCTTTACAGACGTACAGGCTATGATATTCTTTGGCTTTGCGTGCCTTCTGGCATTTTTTAGACTTTTTTACTATGGCTTTGGAGGAATGCTCTTTAACTATCTGACTGCATTTGCCATCCAGTGGGCAGTTTTGGTTCAGGGTTACTTCCAGTTCTAATAATGGTAATAATGGTAAGATCCACCTCGGGGTGAACATCTGATAAATGCGGAGTCTGCCTGCGCGGTGGTGCTAATATCTTTTGGGGCAGTGCTAGGCAAGACCAGCCCACTGCAGCTGCTGGTTATGGCTCTGCTGGAAGTGCACATGTTTGCAATCACAGAGCGGACCGCGCTGAAGTATTTGAAGATCAATTATGCTGGATCTGTGGATCTGATGATAGTAACTGCAGCAGCGTATGCTCTGGGAAGATGGGCTGCCTGGCATGCATGTGGAATACATAACTTGCATGGACTAACTGATATAATGTGATGCAGGGATATGTGCCGTACTGGTGGCTAATGCAGACGTTTATGGTCCCAGTTTCTACAAGATCTTTACTCACAGGGAACCAGTAGAAGGAGACCCTGAGCAGAAAGAGCTCCGGATGACGATCCCAAATTTACAGTCAGGACTGGGGAGGACTGCCCGTGAACAAGTTTTGTTCCAGGTCTCAGCTGTGTTCTCAACAATAGGACTGTCCGCACTGATGAGCTGTTTTTTGAGGTTCTCTCAAACTATGATTCGATACTTACACATAGTGTTTCAATCATTGTTGAGGATTCTACATTCAGGCCTGTCAGTGCATTAATTGGGCAACGATAAAGCAATGTGTTCATAAGTCTATTGCAAGCGATGGTAATGATAATTGTGCTAATAACCTGTGTTAAACTTACCATCAAATAAAAAATATGTAATATCTATTCTCCATTTTGATTATGTGTTTAATTTTGTGCTTTGCTGAGACCGACTTATTGGGTACTGCCTTGGACTGATAGAAACTCAAAAAGGAGAAATAATAAAACCACAGAGTTACCACACACAAAAAATTTGTAATTTATAATTTCTTCCTTATGTAAGATATGTTTTTTTTATGAAAGCAATTAAATATTTTTCTTGATCTTTATAAGATGGCAAAATGGGCTGTGCTTCTCCAGAATTTTTAGAGAAATCAAGCCACACATTTTATATGTAGCTTAATTTTTTTTATCATAAAAGTATTCAAATAGCGACAATTGAGTACTGTACTCCTAATGAAATGCATTTTTTCAAAAGTGCCACCAGGCTCCAGTAAGTGGCAGTAATGAGTCCAAAAACGTGGCCTCTGCTGTTTAAAAAAAATAAAGAGCAAGAGGAAGAAGACGAAGAAGACGGAAGGAGAGGGTCAGGCCACGACCTGCATCGAATAGTTGCTAATAGACGGGGCGGAAAAAAGGTTACATAACATCGAAAATTGTTAAATTGCTTAGGTTTTTCTATCCAGTGTAGAGATACGCTTTGAAACGAATTGTTTTAACATCATATTAACCGTGGTATTTTGACTTTGGCACGCCATTTCATCATTTTTAGACGGTAACGTCATTGTTTGCTAATTAAGCTAGCTCGTTGCCGCGGAAATGCTGTTAGGGGCCATGTTGGCTCTGTAAACTCAACGTCTATTTTTTCACAAAAAAGCAATCCTCGCTTCTGCTATAACTCTCAAGTAACATTGTTTCCATTATGTTTTATTCTAAGTACCTCGTATACGTACTTGTGATTTTACTGTCTGTCTGCCGATGGGAATTTCATATAAACGGGCCTTGAAATGTGCTGAGGTCGAAACGACGGGGATGTAGCTCATGGACGTTTCTACTTAGCGTTAGCTGCGTGCCGCGTTAAACACTATGTGGGGTTGCTAATCTCTGAAATGTGTCTAAATTTAGTTTGAATCTGCTACTTTAAGATTGTTGTATCAACTTAGATATATTTATCGTCATTCTTTTAATGGATATATTTAGAAAAAAGTCAAGCATACTCTGAACCCATTAGCCCTTATCGCTAGCATCGGGTTCGTCTGGTTTTGTGTCCTTTTCACGATTTGCGTGTACACAGATTAATTGTGATATTTTTTCTTTTGTTTTGTTTACAGGATCATTATGGCTGACGACTTTGACGTTGAGGCCATGTTGGAGGCTCCTTACAGAAAGGTGGGTTGAGAGTTGCAGAATTTAGGCCTGTTAACTGATATAGTCCTTTTGTGTAACTCGATATTTGCTGTTGTGAAGAAGTTTTCTTGAATGATGTGTGGTGTGATTGAGTATTAAAAACGCAATACAGAATTATAAATAAATCCACATCTATCTCTCTTTATAGACTTCCCTAATGATATCTCACCTCTACTCCCATGAATTCATCTTTGATTCCACTGTGAACTGTGAAAAAAAAGGAAGGTAGTTATTGCGCATATACTGATGTACTGTGGTTCACTTTAGGAGTAAAAGAGATTCAACCTAGATCATCCAATCCCTATTCGGTTGCAACAAGGTGAATGCCAATGGTTCATAAGCGCATCTTTACCTATCCAGCAAAGGAGGCAGTATTCAGATTTACAGTCTGCATCTTGATGCTGGTTCTGGTCGTTGAGTCCTTATCGTAAATAGTTACAAATTTATTCATTCCGTTAGAAAAATGTGTTCTTAGCAGGTACCTTTTTGTCGACTAAGTTATCGTCTCTTTGCAAGTACATGTATAAATTTGCTTGTTTTTAACTTATGGATTGATTATATATGGTTGTATCCTACAAGTGACATATTTATTTTCTTATATTCTTTTACAGTGCAAATAGGAGTTTTTTTTTTCTGCTCGTGAATATGAATACTGCCTCTTTGCCTTAGTCAGCTGTAATGTGAATCAGCTTGATTTTATTTTTTTATTTTATTGCATGCTACACAAAACAGCATTGTTAGTATTTCAGAATGAATGTAAAATAATACTCTAGTTTAACTGTTGTATAAAAGTATGCATTTAAAGTAGTCGTTATTTCCATCTGAAGTCAAAAGGTTGGAATTTTTAATGCAAACTGCAGATAATGGTAGTGTAACAGGTGGCTGATTTGAATCTTTTTTATTTATTTTCTTGGGCGTCAATATTACTAAGAAGTGTGAATCCCTGTTTGCTTCAGGGCAAGATGTGTGACAGAGGTGGCATCGAGCTCTTACAGTCCAAGAACGAAAATGGGTGAAGATCACTGGACTGACACCAACCACACAGGATCTCTTTTAGTGGCCATGGGCCATGCGTGGTCACATGATTAGGCACAAATAGTGGCATTGGTACGACCTGTTAGAAGGGGGAAATGGTGGAGATGACCTGACAATTGTCAAAGCTTCCTGAACTCTGCTAATATGTTGGAAACTCCCTTAACTTTGCTTTGTTGCATTAAGTACTGAGCAGCCTTATTAGAATAAACAGGAGTGGGATGGGAAGCTATTGGGGGGTGGGGGGGGAGGGGGGTGGAAGCACACTGTCCAAACATGACAGTAGAAAGTTTGTATTATTAAAATTATTAATTGAATATATTCTGCATTTTCTCTTGTCCCCCCCCCACCCCCTTTTACCTTGACGACTCTAAATGTTTCATCTACGTCCTCATGATGTTCTTCTATAAACCTTGCTTAGGATGAGAACAAGTCCTCTCATGCCAACGGACACGATGACCACAAGAAGTAAGTTTTTGATGCTTGGTTAATTTTAAGTATTCAAGCCAGACGTATTCAAATTTGATTAGAATTTGGCCAGTGGATGTACTCATTGCTCACTTATGCTGTATTCCAGGAAAAGGAGAAGCAGGAGCCGAAGCCCAGGCTCAAGAAAGAAGAAAAGCAGAAGTAGGAGCAAAGACAGAAAGAAGAGCAAGAAGAGGAGCAAGAGCCGAGAGAAAAAACGCAGCCGCAGCAAAGAGCGCCACCGCAGCCGCTCCCGAAGCAAAGATCGCTCAGGACGCTACAAAGCACGCCGGAGTCCCATGTACGTCCACCCTTACAGCTGCACATGTGCACAGTCCAAAGTTTGTCACGCTTGTTTTGTTATCAGCTGAGTCCCTCACAGAGCTCAGTATTCCATTGACTATTCATTCAAGTGATTACAACAAGTTAAATTACATACATTTTCCATCCTGCTCCAGGCTGTTTTTTAAGACTTAAACAAGGTTCAGTTTCTAAATCAAAGCTATTTTTTTCTTAATTCATTTCAGTCGGAAACGTTCCAAAAGTCGGAGTCCCTTTAAAAAAGAGAAGAGTCCTGTCAGGTAAGGGGAATTCATTTTTTCTTTTTTTTATAGTAATCGTGTGTGAATATATATTTTTTTAATATATGTACACACATGCGCATAGTTATCTGTATTTACAGTAGTTTGGTTCTTTAAAATAACAGAATTTTTGTTGTGTATGACTTGTGTAAAGATTTCATAGGCCTTCAAATATAGAATTTAATTATCTTTTTTTTCCCTCCCCAAAGACAACCAATTGACAATCTAACACCGGAGGAGAGAGATGCCCGCACTGTTTTCTGCATGCAGCTTGCTGCACGAATCAGAGCTCGAGACCTGGAGGACTTTTTCTCAGCTGTAGGAAAGGTAATTTTTCTCTTAAATTTGGCATGGATAAAAATATTATTTCATGTAGAAATGTTCCCTAAAACATTGATTGTCAAACTTTAGGTTCGAGATGTGCGAATAATCTCTGACAGAAACTCTCGGAGGTCAAAGGGTATCGCATACATAGAGTTTGTAGAGGCATCCTCAGTTCCACTGGCTATTGGACTCACTGGACAGAGGCTTTTAGGGGTTCCCATCATCGTCCAGGCCTCTCAGGTCAGTGACTTTACTTTGTGGTTACAGTCATAGCAGTATATTTTTCCTATGTGTAATGGTGTTTACCAGGATTCAGTGTTTCAAAAATGGGGATTTTGTCCACTTTAAATGACAACAGATTCTTTTATTTTTCTTTCCCCCAAGGTTATTGCTCCAAGCAGTTACATTTTCTGTGTATTTACAGGCAGAGAAAAATAGAGCAGCTGCAGCAGCGAACAACCTGCAGAAGGGCAGCGCAGGCCCCATGCGGCTGTACGTGGGCTCCCTGCACTTCAACATCACTGAAGAAATGCTGCGAGGGATCTTTGAGCCCTTTGGAAAGGTGAGGGACGAGCTTCATGCGGGACACTTACATTTGTGACTGTATGCACGCCTCATCTGAACTGGTGTGCTTTGCTTCCAGATTGAAGGGATCCAGCTCATGATGGACAGCGAGACCGGGCGATCCAAAGGATATGGCTTCATATCGGTAACTACACGCTGCAGATTGTGATGGTGATGCTGTTTGCTGCTGGGGTCACATACCTAGAACCTCTCTCTTTAAGTTTGCAGATGCAGAGTGTGCAAAAAAGGCGTTGGAACAGCTGAACGGCTTTGAGCTGGCTGGACGTCCCATGAAAGTGGGACATGTCACAGAGCGCTCAGACTCATCAACAGCAAGCTCATTCCTGGACAATGACGAGCTAGAAAGGACTGGGATTGACTTGGGCACAACAGGCCGTCTACAGCTTATGGCTCGACTTGCAGAAGGTTTGTTTTATCTGACACATCAACAATCCCATGTTGATAGCATGGTTTGTTACTGAGCAATTTCCTCCTCACAGGAACCGGCCTGAAGATCCCTCCTGCTGCCCAGCAGGCTCTCCAGATGACTGGATCCATACCTTTTGGGAACATCAGTGCTCCAGCAGGTGAGAACTGTTGGAATAGAAAACAGCAAGTGTTTTTCCCTTTAGGAAACGTGACTGATGGATATTATTGTCTTAGTTCCAGCTCCAAGTCAGGCTTTGAACCTCCCATCCCAGCCCCTGGCCACTCACTGCCTTCAGCTGTCTAACCTGTTCAACCCGCAAGCGTAAGGATGCTGCAATTTCAATAGCTCCTCTTTTTTCTCCAAGATTGCTGCAACCGTTGCAGTCCGTTTCACCCATCCTGAAGTCCTGGTTTGTAATGCTCGTTGTCTTTTCAGGGAAAATGATCCAGGCTGGGCCACTGAAATTCAAGATGATGTGATTGAGGAGTGCAACAAGCACGGGGGAGTTGTTCACATCTATGTTGATAAGAATTCAGCTCAAGTAAGTTAAGGCATCCAAAACATATAAACTTCAGATTTTGGTTTGAAGATTACTCGATTGAAGTTGAGACGTGACACATTTTCCTCTGTCTTGCTGCTACAGGGTAACGTGTACGTGAAGTGTCCCTCTATACCTGCAGCTATGGCAACTGTTAATGCACTTCATGGACGCTGGTTTGCAGGTATGTAGAGTACAGCCACCACAATGGCCAGAAAATTGGCATATTTTGAACAATTTGTTTTCTTCCTTTCCCACCAGGAAAAATGATAACGGCTGCCTACGTTCCCTTACCAACCTACCACAACCTTTTCCCAGACTCAGTAACAGCAAAGCAGCTTCTAATGCCAGCACGCCGATAGTCTGAGACACAGTGGAGAGTTGGTGTAAATACATTTGTTTGCATTCATAGAAGTGTCATTGAAGCAAATGCATTGAAATTAGTTGGCTGTGTGTAATAAAAGTGGCCTCACATTCAGAATTGAAATGTAGAATTTTGTTTTTCTTTAAGTTACTTTCAAATTTTGTGGGTTTGTGTTGTAAGCTACCACTGAGAATATCTCCAGGTATGTTTCAGTCTGTATGTTTTTAAATATTACCATCTTATCTGCTTGTTTAAAAAAAAATAAAAAATCAACAGTTTTAGATATGAATACATTGCAAAAAGTTCCAGAAATGTTGGGTTGAGAGGCCTTAAATGCCAAAAGTATATCAATGTCAATAATCCTTTGTAACTTTTTACAGCCATAATTTTTTTTTTTTTGTATGAAGGCTTCCAATAAATTTGGCAACTTCTATTTAATTTGTTTTCATCCCCTTTTTGGGGCATTTGTCAATCCAAGATCAATTTGAATTGCCTCTGATTAAAGTCTTAATTACAGCATTGGACCCATTTGTCAATGAAATTTTAATACTTTGTCAAAGTTGAGTATGTTGGCTGTCATATTTAGATTGGACATAAATACAAGTCATGCTGGAAAGTCGTTTACAGTACTTTCCATGGAGCCCCCTGAATTTACAATGATTTGGTGATAAACTGTTTTTGGAAGGATGAATATCAAGTTGTGCTTTAGAACTGTACCTCCATGTAAATGCCACCTCCAGTGAATTAACTTGTTAATGTACTTGGCCCTCTGGTTACTGCTTAGAGCCACCATAGGAAATAAAAACTGTTCTACAGGGTGGATTAGACCACATTTACAAAATTGTAGATTTTTTTTTCCCCGAATTGAATCTTACACAGTCCAGGTTGTGAACATGTGGGTTTACTGCAAAATAGTTTTTCTCTTTCCAAGTATGCCATGTTAATACTTTCAGTTGTTCACTGACAAGATTAATTGTGTATAAATAATCCAAAACAGGGATGCAAAGTACACGGATGAAACCTTTAGACCAGCTGCCACAGAGTGCCTCCACTATGTTTTTTGGTCCCTCACTTATTGAGAACCTAACAGGACAACGCTGTCAGATGTTTTACACAATGCTGAACTCCAGCTATACTTTATATTCGTGAAGAAATGACAGACAGGTTTAATGCACACACTGTAAACTTTATATTCTAACAAAAGGTATTGCAACAACAAAATAGTTTCAACTTCAGAAATCTTTTTACCATTATTATCCAGAGGTTTCTGTTTTCCTCTATTTGACTCTTTTCTATCCTCAAATATGTACTGAGTATTGTCCCATCTTCTTCCAGAACTTTTGCAAACACCTGGGGGGAAAAAATGACATGGTTAGGCATTTTCTCTATTTGTTGTTTAATGAAAGAAATCCTGTTCTTGAGAGCCCGTATATGTGAAGTCACTAACTAAAATTGTACAAAAACTAGTTGTCCTTATTGCCTCCTGGGTATAAAAAATATCCTTGTACCATTTAGATTTTCATTTTTTTTCTCCTGTCAAAGTTGAGCATCAACATTTGTGTGAAGGGCAGCATTCCAGCAAGGTTCCCTCAAATGAACAGGCCCCAGATCACCAGTGAACGGTTCCCAGCTTCTCCTCACCACCTCACAAATACTGGCGCATGATATAAGAGCTCCATCCACTATCAGCCGCACTGATAGAGTCCACACTGCGAATTAAATCCTCATGGTGTCATGAAAGAGTAAAAAATCTGGACCCAAACTGGTTTCAACCTGGGCTTTTTCCTGACTCATCAAATCAGCTCACGAGATGCGTTTGTGTGCCTCAGAAATCAGTGAAACACATTTTTTTAAATCCCCCATTCACTGAAAAGTGCAGGGTGATTTAAAAACAAGCACAATTTATATCAATCTATTTTAACTCAATCTAACAAGATGTCTGATCAGCTGACAGTCTTTTCCAACTTTACTGTCCCCTCCAGTCTGTGGGTGGTTCAGACGGTAGAGTCGCTGAATGAAAGATAGTGAACAACGCCACACACTCAGCTGCTGCTGACCTGACAGGGCTTCACTTCTTTGGAGAACTCTCTTTCGCCTGGTGAGCCTGCAGGACAGCAATAGCTTCATCCACCTGATCAAAGGACAGGAAGTAGACAAAAGGAAACTTCCTTAACTTTCGTCTTATTGATAAAGACTAAACTACATTATGAACAGTAGAGGTAGAGATCAAATTACTCTCTCCCCTCTGGTGTAATGAAGTGAATTTTCCGATACTCTGCCTAATTTCTTCAGCATACTACACTTTCTTTAATTGCCTCAATGGTTAAACCTTTAGTAAAATCTCACTTGAAAATTGTTATTCCTATTATAGCACACATTAAAGAAAAAATTTAATAAAATCACACATCAAAAGCTGTCAGACCTTTGAAACAGGACTAAAGAAGAATGTTAATATACCTTAGAGTTCAGGGACTCGGGTGACTCCAGCATGTGCAGCAGCTCTGAGTTGTCGATCTCCAGCAGCATCCCAGTGATTTTTCCAGCCAGGTTTGGGTGGAGTGCATGGATCAGTGGGTACAGTCGCTCCCCTGTGCATAACAGCGGTGGGAGGAGTGACAATAAAGACATACCAACTGCCTCAATGTGCATAGTAGGTGAACAAAACAACAACAAAAACACGCCAAACCAAGAAGCTGTTTCTGATCCATGAGTGGAGCTGCAGCCAGCATGGAGGCGGTGAGCGACTCTGGGCCCGGGTGGTGCACCGGTGGCTCCATAACAGGTGCAGGAACAGCCTGACAACATCCAGCAACAATGGGTCACTAAAAAAACTGTCTGAATTACAATTTTACTACTTTAGCCTATAAACTAATGGAACCATTTCATTTTCAAGTAATGTAAAACTCACAACTACTGGACCTTAAAAGTTAGGGAAAAAACTTAAAGCTTGCTGAATTGATACTTTTCATTGATTTCAAATTTCTGTCTTAAATTTCACATTTTTGGACTTATGTTTGTGCTCCATCAGGCTGCTCAAAACTGAAGTATTAACACGGTAGAGAACAGAAAGCTCAGACAGAAGTACCTGTGGTCTGATCATAGGTGCAGGCAGCGTAACCACGTGCAGAGGGTTCCTCACTGCAGATGAATACTTGTACTGGCTGCCTCTGGGCACGCCGGGGACATCAGTGCGCCCTCCTACAGTCTGCGTCCCAATGTTGTCTACACAGGGAAGTTCCTTGAGTCAAACATCTGCACCCGCATTGTTGGGACCTTTAAGGGGAAGGCTGTGTCGTGCTTGACGTACTCGTCTTTTGTGTGGAGGTGACGATGCGTGGAGCCTGAGTGGAGGCCTGTCGGACTGTGGTAATGGTTGCTGATCCCCGGCGAGGAACGGAACCACCAACAAACTGTGTTGGGTAAGGGCCTAAAAACACAGAGCGGGTTAGATCACTGAACCGTCCGAACGACAGATGCATTTCCATCGACATGTGCTCATAACAAATTCACCCTGTGGTCTCGGTGGTTGTCCTGTCCAACGAGGAACTGGTCTCATGTTGCTGACCGCACTGTGGTTGTAAAAGGAGCGAGTAGGAGGCTGCAAGGGAAGTGCCAGGAGTAACTTAACTAAAAGGCATAAATCAATCAGCGAGTCATTTTGAGGGGTATTAAAGCAGATAAATACACTTGGCATCGGCAGCATTTGAAGGAAAAAATTTTCAAAATGGATATTTTGATGCTGCATTTGTTCTACTTAAACTCCAACTGGTAACTGCACCAACCTTACTGTGGGTGATGCGTGTGCATACCTGTGGTACCGTCATGTAGTATCCAGACTGGTGGTAGGAGTCAATGATTGGACTGGTCATGGTTCTCAGGGTAGCAAGCCTCTGCATGTACTTGTTTGTGAGAATGGCTTTACGCTCCTCCCTGCGCTGTGCCAGAGCAACATACAACGGCTTGGTTGCAACAATTCTCCCGTTCATCTCAGTCACTGCTTTGGTAGCTTCTTCGGGAGAAGAAAAGCAAACAAAGCCGAAGCCTTTGCTTTGGCCACCATCAGTCATCACCTGAAGGAAGCGGTCAGAAAGGTCCACATTAATTCACACTGACTTATTAAGCCAGATTCTTTAAACACTGTCCAAAACTCTGATTTGAAGCTGTACAAGCTCTGCACCGAGCTGCAGACCAGAAAAGGTTGCACCAGACATATTTTTCTGAGAGCAGGTGAAATACATTTTTAATATTTTTCATTGTTTGATTTTAATCAATCCATCTTGATTCGAATCTGTACTATTCCAAACGTTACCTTTGCACTGGTGATGGTCCCATAAGGGGAAAACTCCTTCCGGAGTCTCTCATCATCAATTCCGTCATCCAAATTCTTCACATACAGATTAACCCCCTGTAACCACAGAGGGTACTAAATCAGTTTCAGCACATAGCAACAGACTTAACTGCCAGCTGAACGAAACATAGGAGGAAATAAAAGAAAAAAAACATCATCCCAACAAGTTTGTTTGACTTGATGTTCTGCGTTTGACAAACCAGCCTTAAAATTTTTTATTTGTTTCTATTCTACCTTGACCTGGGCACATTTTCAGATATTGTAATAATCCAAATTAATTTTGAGAGCAGATTAATTGTTGTGCCATATCAGGGATCACTTAGTCTCCTGTATGCATATTAAACAGTTTAGAAGATAAACATTTACCTCAAAACAAATCTGATAAACCTTATAACACCAAATGGATTATAAAATTGAGACACCCAGAAGTCCTCCTATTCCAGCGTCCCACCTGATAGCGTTGGATGCGGTCCTGTTTGATCTGGTCAAACTTGCGCTTCAGCTCCCCCTGCCGCTCCAAACGCTTCTGAGCCCGCCCAACGTAGATGACCTTCCCATTGATTTCTTTTCCATTCATTTCTTCAACGGCCTGCGAAACAAAAAGGAGCATCAGTATGTTGCCTTCAAAAGGAAATTGATTTGTTTAATGTAACTTACTGTTGCTTCATATAATTAATTCATAATCCTTCCCACACTCAGCTCTTAAAATGTTACACCTCTCCAGGTGCAGTTCAGGACTGTGATTCAGTAATTCAGTGTTGGGATCCATCTCAAGTTATGTTTTTAAATATTAGTCTGTTATACATTTACTCCAGTAAGCAGTATTTAGGCTATCATGCAGTTTCGCTGTGAGAGATCATGAGAAACACATCTATAGTCAAACTAAACACCGATGTCATGTTTGGGCTACTTAAAATTGCAAAACAATGTTGCTTCTGTAAAAATCTTGGTTTATGAGAGTATACCTACATCTATTGATGTGGACAAATCATTCCTGACAGAGACAACTGAACCTGAACTCTGCAGTAAACTCAAAGTCCAAGTAAATGATTAAAAAAGTAGAGCACACATAGGTATCACATAATATTTGTGACCTTTTCAGGCACAATATTCACCAGAATTGTGTGGCTCATTGAGCAGGAAATTAAATCAGCCTTGCCAAATTAATTGAAAATCTTTGAGCCATCACAGTAATCTAAAAAATGCTGCAGATTGAGATCATACTGAAAATTTTGGAAATACGAAAAACTAAATTATGCTGCAGTGTGATTTAACTATCTCATATGTACAGAAGCAAAACAATGAAAAATGTTTTTTTTTAAGAAAGTAAAGAACAATTAAAGGGGCAGATTTTACTTTCTTAAAGGATCCCCAACTCCTGCAATGATGATTATAAAAAGGACAATTTCTGCTTGGTTTTCTGAACAAACAGAAACACTGTACAGCATGTTGGATGTTTTTCATGGTACTTTCACAGATCTTGTCCCCTGATCCCATATCTAGTCTTCTCAGTGGATGTATCTTCTTTTCACTTGACTGTACTTAAAAAAATAAATAATAATAATTTCTTTTTAAAAGGATTGATACCCTGCTGGACACTGACGGCCTCAGTCAATAGTTGTGCCACTTTAAAAGATTAAGAAATCACATGGAAACAACTCAGATATTTTCTTTGTACCAAATAGTAATCAACTGTTCATCATAAACTGTAAGTGCCAAAACAAATACAACAAAAAAAATCAAATTTAAAAAAAAAAAAAAAAAAGGCTAGGCTTTACAGGACACTTCACACTCACCTTCTGAGCATCTCCATGGTGAGCATAATTGACAAAGCCAAATCCTCTGGAACGGCCCTTCTCATCTTTCATCACCCGCACGCTGAGAGTCTTTCCTGAGGGAAAACCAAGTCTATTATTTTACAACACATATACAAAGTAGCCACAATCACAAATGGTGCGTCACAAATCTAGACAATCGATTAATCAAGGAGCAGTGATAATTCTTACCAAATGCAGAGAAAACCTCCTTCAGCTTCTCATCAGTGTAGTCCTCCCCAAAGTTTTTTATGTAGACGTTAGTGAACTTCATGGCTTTGGTACCAAACTCCACCTCTCTTTCCTTGCGTGACTTAAAGTGACCCACAAACCTGAAGAAAGAAACAAACCCAATAAACTAAGAGAACAAAATTCTAGAGATGAACCAGAGAGACAGATTTTAAACGATTATGTTTTACGCAACAATGTAACCTGCTTAGCCCTGAACACTACAATACACACAAAAGGTCACAAACCTAGACATAGATCCTACCTATTTGCTGACCTAAGCTGGAAAACCAAACATTTATCCCACAGGAAACGGTCTTTTGGGTTGATAATGCCAGATCCCAACTGTTTGCCTGTCTTTTGACTGAGACACACATGGGGAAAAGTCATCTGCAAACATTCTGTGGCACATCATCAATTCTTAACACATTTTACCTACATATTCAGCTCTACTCTTTACCTGAACTCATTTTTTTCCAAATGGCTCTTATGCCAATGCTTGAATATTCTACTTGGATCTAAATGTACTTACACTTTCCTGTCATTCAGCAGCATCCCATTCATTGTTTCAATGGCACGGTTTGCTGCCTCCTGTGTCTCGAAGTGAACAAATCCATAGCCTTTAGATCCTTTCTCATCACAAACAACCTACAGAATTAAATGCTTTAAATCAATTACAAGATTTTCTCACACTGCTAACCATCACCTAAACTCTCTTTAAACAATAGCCCTTGGTTCAGTACTGGGCCAAGCTGAATACCTTGCAAGACAAAATATTGCCGAAGGCTGAGAAGGTGTCATACAGCGCCTTGTTGTCAATGGAGTCATCCATATTCTTGATGAAGATGTTTCCCACACCGGACTTCCTGAGTCCTGGGTCACGCTGCGACCACATTATTCGAATTGGCCGACCCTTGATGACATCATAGTTCATTGTATCAAGGGCACACTCCGCTAGAACAAAACAAAAAGCCCCTTACTGCACAGAAGAGCCACAGCACCATACAGGACAGGGATTCTGGTTTCAATGAAATTCTAAATGTATTCTGTACCATGACTTAGGTGCTAAATGCATTTGATGTTTAGTCGTCTATCAAAAGCTTACAGCTCTAATTGTATTTGTGAGTATGAATTCTTGTATTCAGACCCAAAATTACCAAACAAGATGTTTCCTTATTTAATTACTTACATATACTTTCATCATTAAGTCTAGCTATAATTTATGGACATATGCCCATTTCTCCAGAAGTGTTGCATGAAAATGGTACAACTTGTGCCTCTCAGCAACAATAGGGTGACTGAAATGTTATGGATGCAAGACGGGTACATTTTGTGATCACTTCCAAGAAGCAAGAAACTTCTTAATGGAAAATAAATCATTTTGATGTGAAGTATACTGCATTTGTAATCAAAGAGAGAGGATGCTGTACCATCAGCGGGTTGCTGGAAGTTTATGTAGGCATATCCCAGAGATCTGCGGGTAATGATGTCACGGCACACCCGAATAGACATGATGGGTCCAGCAGGGGAAAATTTTTGGTAAAGCATGGCCTCTGTAACATCTGGGTGCAGGTCCCCAACATACAAGGAGGCCAGAGGATACGCAGGTCCACTGCTGTTCATCTTGTGCAACAGCTAGATGAAGACAAATGCTACATGTAACTGTTTTTTATGTAAAGAATTTTTGCAATTCGACAATTATTAGCAGCCTTCACTTTTTCAGATACAGTGCCTGGCCAAAAAAAAAGCAACCACAAAACTTTCAGCTGGAATCAAGTAATTGAACACCTGAATGATCAGCAATCATTAAAACGTTTAGTGAAATCAAATTGAAGAAAACAACTGTAGACATCTGGGACATGTTTAATAGTGAATGTAATAACATTTCCACATTAGGGGGAACTGTGTATAGCATAAGAAAAACACTATTAGCCAAGCTTCTACTTGCCAGAGAGCTTTTTTTTTTTTAAAGATTTTGGAGCAATGGAAGAAGGTCATGCAGTCTGGAGATTCCAGATATATATTGTATCAAGGGTGGGGGCCCATCAGGATAGGGAGAGGTTGGTAGCAACTTTTTGTCCTTTTTTTTGGGCCAGGCGTAATTTATTAAGACATTAATGCCATTTATGCAAGGTTTCTTTCTTTAAAGTTCTGACAAACTACACGACGGCATGAATATCTGAAAAATATTTTTACCCAACTAAAACACACTGGTTGATATTTACGAGTAGATTTAATAGGATTGAACCAGTTTGCCTACACATTTAAATCAAAACACTTCTAAACAAAACTGATCAAGAAACTGTTCAAGTATTGCTAGGTTATTCATTCAAATGGTACTTCAATGAACTGGTCAGCTTTAAATGTGCACGATCTCAATATCAAGTTGTCCACTTATCTTTCAAGTAGATATATAGCTTAAAAAATTAGACCAGTTAACTTTCCCCGTCAAAGATGGGATTTAAAAGACGGACAGAAAATGTCTGTATCCTCCTGGTAAACCATCGAGGACAAAAAAAAACCTTATTGGCTAGCCATTTTTGGTAACTTTTCTAAATAAATAAAAAATGCTAGGCTAAAGTTGGGTCGTATGAACGCCACAATAAATCTCTGAGACCAGCTACAAACAGAATCTCAATAAGCCGAGTAGTAGAACTTACATTTAATGCCAAGGCGTCGGGCTTTTCAGAGCAGTAGCTTGTGAGCACACTTTCCACATCAGCGCGAGGATGTTTTGATTTAATTATCACCTTAGAACACCTGCACGCTTCCTCCGCACAACAGTATTTCAATTAAGCTGTGAGAACAAGAACGTCACACTCCGCGATAAAAACTAGTTCTCATCAGCATGGTAGCTATTGTCAAAAGTGAGAAGCCTGCGTATGCACAATCACGCGTAATGTATTTTTTTATGATTGGAAACATAGCTCAATGCTACTTTTCTATCAAAATTTCTTATCAGGGCCAATATGAACAGAAATGAAGACGTAATTAGCTTCTTATCTTAAACGAAACTTTATTTCACTGAATGGTCTTTGACACTTTCCTAATTTTTTACATGAATAGTGAAACTAGAATGGTTTTAAGATACATAAACACAAAGCTAGAATTACACCAACCATTGTTTATCTCCATTTCATCACTGCTTTTTATAGCTATTCTAAATTTTCACAACCACGTGTGTGCACTGGGTAATAGACTGTTACAGAAGCAAATTTTAGCCATAAGACTTGTCAGTAAAAACAAAGCAAGTAGATACCTGATATACAGACAGGCTTCGTTCCACATTCACTAACTGCATTTTCATCAAGCATAATAATAAACTGACATGTTTTTCTTTTCTCCCCAACAAAAATTTCACTTCATTTGAGCATTGTCAGAGTAAACAGACCGCCAGCTATAATGTGGAATGGTGTCTTCAACTACAGTAACGTGGAATGTAGTGGTGATGCATGGTATTGTGACACTGAGCTTCTTTCCAAAGTGATGACATGCGTTCATTTACCTTCTAAAGCAAACCTATTTTTGAGGCGATCATTCTCACCAGTCATCTTTAAACAGCAATGATTCACCTGGGTAAAAACTGAGGTCAGGATTTAACCGTTTTTGTAGCTGAACTCATTCTATGAGATTTCCAACAAGCAAATGTTGCTACCTAGAGAAAAATACTAGAGGCTGTGAGAGAAAGCCAGGCACAAAAACTTTTTGGAGAAAACAACCGTTTTAAGAGGAATATTTTTGCAAGCAGGGTCGATACAGTGTGGTAAGACATTTTCAATTATCAATAAAAGGTTACTTTAGGTTTTACATACAGATGATAGTCAATCTTGCAAAATACAAGGAACCACATTTACGCACATACAATTTCCATTGTACTGAGACCAAGCAGCACCTGAACAATGAGTAAAACTACAATGACGATCCATACTTAGTTGGGAAAAAAAAGGAGCACTGCCATTTCCAAATGCCTAATATTGTGGAATGTCTTATGTCTGAACAAATTTAACATGAGAATTTAAGGGGTCCCTCATAACTTTAAAACTGTGAATTTGTGAACATGATCAAGGAGCATTACACCAAGATGTCAGTGTCACAATACAGCCTACCTCCTTTCTGTATGAGCTCACAGCAGAATTGCAATTAGTTGAATACAGGATTGTATGTGTCTGGAAATTCAAACACAAAAATTGTTCTGGGGTTGTGAAGCAAATGGGACGCCTACCATCACAGTGTTTGGTGGAAATCAACTGCCAGTTTAATTACCTTACAATAAAACCTGTAAATATAATGAGGAATCACAAATAAGAAAAGTAACAAAAAGGGATGAAAAATGCACAACAAACTAGCTGGGACAAAGGAATTTGGAAGGACGAATAGAAGTCACAACATCCCCCCTCCCCCCCCCAGAACAAGCACACAATCTCTCACATTCACTCACACTTGCTCACTCACTACATACAGACCTACATACAAAGCTGAAAAAAAAAACAGCGACATGGACTCACTAATCAATACAACATGTTTCCACGAAGTGACTGAATCTGCTAACAACTGAAAATTACCCTGTCACCTCACAGTGAACTGAGAGGGGTAAACTAGTTGGTCAGAAGCAATTCAGGCTGCTTGTCATACAGAAGTGGGAGGGGCTGATGGAGTGGAGGGGGATGTATATAAGCTGTCTGTGTTTAAGATAAGAGTGTAGGTGGATTAACAGTGCAATTCCATTAGTTTTCCCCATCTCCGGTCTCTCCCTCATCTGCCTGGTTTTCTGATGTCCACAGCTGGTAACGAAAACAAGAAAAAAAACAAGTTACAACTTCCTATGAAGCAAGACAACAGGATCATCCAAGTACCCCCCAAAAACTATATAGCTTAAACTCACAGTCAGGTTGTCCCTTAGTAGTTGCATGATCAGGGTGCTGTCTTTGTAGGAGTCCTCGTTCAAAGTGTCAAGTTCAGCAATGGCTTCATCAAATGCCTGGGGAGGGAAAAAAAATAAAAAATGATTAATTTACCTGCGTGGTAGTGGTTAAGACTGCATTAAAAAAATTATCTTGAAATGTCTGTATTTTCTGTTTTACCAGTGACATTTATCATTTAAATGGTTAACAATAACCTCCTAGTTCATTCCAATTAGCGGGTTATTCTTCTGCCTTAATTTCTTACCGTTTTAGCCAGGCTGCAGGCCTTGTCCGGGTTGTTGAGGATTTCATAATAGAAGACTGAGAAGTTGAGGGCCAGGCCAAGCCTGATGGGGTGTGTTGGCTGCATCTCTCCCTTGCTAATGTCAAAAGCGTTCTGGTACGCCTGCTGGGAATTCTCTACTGTGTCTGTGTGGACACAAGAAGGTGTAAATGATTCATGTTTTTCAATTTTAAAGCTGTGTACATTGACTCTGGCCACTTGAGGGCAGCAGACTAAGCACTTGTATAGAGTTTACATTGTCACTCTTGAGTCTGGCTCCACTGTCAAGAGAAAATGTACCAGTTCTTTAGGAGCTTAATTTAAAATTGCAATGTTAATTCTATTTGTTATCTGGTGGAGGTATGACAGATACATAAATTGAAAGTACAAACATAGCTGTATATTTTTCCTCTTTAAACAGTTCTAAAAAATGCATGGTTTGCGTTAAACAATTGGAACATGTCCTATTTGAATATGAACATTTCGAGCAGTATTTTGACCATATAAACTTAGATTTCAGAACCCTGTTGCCAGGCATAAAACTAATACAAGTTCCCACTTACCCTTTTTAGTATCTCCAGATGCAACCTCAGAAAGGTATCTATAATAGTCACCTTTCATTTTCAGATAGAACACCCTACTTTCAGCAGAAGATGCGTTGGCAATGAGAAAGTTGTCCAGTAGCCCCTGTGCAAATCAGATGACAGTTTAAGTATTGTGATTACCTTTCTAGATTTCACAAAAGTGCAAAAAAAAAAATCAAACTATCCAAAAAAAACAGATAAGTGTGAGAAACTTACAAGCACGTCCTGGCAGATTTCCTGCAGCTCAGTTTCTATCTTCTCCCGGTATTCACGTGCCATTTGCTGTTTTTTGTCATTGCCCTCGGTCTTCTGCTCAATGCTTGAGATGACACGCCAGGATGAGCGACGAGCTCCAACCACATTCTTGTAGGCAACAGAGAGAAGGTTGCGCTCCTCATTTGATAGCTCTGCGCCTTGCTCCGTCACCGACTTCATGGCTGCAGCCATGTCATCATAGCGCTCAGCCTGCTCAGCAAGCTTGGCCTTCTGTACCAGGTCGTTCTTATCCATTTTCTAGACTGAGAGAAGAGGAAATGGTAGAATTTGAAGTCAATTTCACAAATCAATTCAAACACATGGCAGAAGTACTAATCTCAGTCATTTCTGTATGGTCACATTAGAGTGTTTTTGTATACATAGTATAATTACTTAGAGGAGACAGCTACATTAACTTTAAAGTGAAAATAAGTTTTAAAGTGGAGCCCTTGGCAAGTGGGTCAACCACACGCAACCCTTGCTTAGGTTAGCTGCTAGCTAGTTGATTGCGCTCCCAAATCCTTTTCGCCCCCTTCAGTTACAACCTTCTTCTTATGATTAATCAACAAAGGCAGAAATTGTTTAACCGTTAAGTGTACCACAGATTTTTTTTTTTATTGTTTGCTGAAATGTTTTTTATGCATCACTACCAATGATTAGCCGAACCCTTTTTCGGTCAGGTTTTAATGCCCTCCCCCTAAGGTTGTTAGCAGTACTAGCAGGCTATGCGTTTTATTGTTCAATACTAACATTAGCTTTTAAATGTGGACTTAACCGATGAAAATTTTCCGGCAATTTACATTGAGGGCATGATCTACCTGGATTAGGTAACATAAGAGGTGTTAATCTGTCGTGATAACGCAAACCGTTCGGAATGGCTAACATTCTGCTAGCCATCGTCGACTGATTGCCGCTGATGGTAATAGCTAGGCCAGCAAAAAAAATCAACTGCCAACTTAACTTGATAAAACAGGAATGAGATGCTAACGACTAACATTTGACCTGTATTTAAGTGGAACAAGGTAAAACATTGAATTCCCGTGAAGCTCTTTTGCGTTTAATTCATTTTTCAACAGCTGTAACAAGGCCCGCCCAGGCTGCCGAGCCTGTCAGAACAAAGTGTCATGGAATCCAACCGTCGGTTAGCTCGTAGCTAGCAGTTAGCCAGAGAGCTAACCCAGCCTTTCACAAACCCAGCTAGCCTTTCGGTTATGATGGCTTCTCAATAGGATTCTACCGCACACGATATAAATAGCCCTTATATCAACAAGCTACGAATGAAAATGTAGTTTTACCAACCTATATTGAAAACCGCTAGACTCATACACTTACAATATTGATGACTTTTAATCCTGCTTTTTTCACGTTCTGGACGATTGAGCCTCCGTCCTCCGTCTCGCTCAGCGTTCAGGGCAGTACCACTTCCGCTACACTGTCACTTCTGTTTCCTCCTTTCTCACCACACATCTGCCTTACGTAATGTAACCGCTGCTTCGTGCTTAAGACAATTAACATGAACAAGTAAATCGTTTTTCTTTTATAAGTATCTTGTTTCTGTGTTACGCGGTTGTACTCTTTAATGTAACCAACGGTGGCGACAGTTTGCTATATTAAAACGCAAGTGAATCAATCATATACATATTGACCTGGAGTCTGTACTTGATATGGATAACGCTGAAGGTGTACCTTACAAGTTCACTCTGATCATATTTGTAAATGCAGCTTGTATTTTTCAGAAGAACTGCAGCAGTGGATCTTTTGGATACACCGCTTAAATGCAAGTGTTAATCATTTCAGCAAATACATTTGTATCACATATCTGTCACATATGAGTATTGCTATGTCTAAAATAGAAGTTAAGGTGATTTCCTGCCTCTTTTACAATGCAAGGTTAGTGGTCAAGGTATTGGCTTTCTTCAAGGACACTCCTTAGGACACCGCTTTCCTCTTGGGTCTGCGATTAGTAGAAACGTTTCAAGCAAGAATATAGGGCTGACTAACAAGTTTATCACGTAGGCCGTATCATAAAACTCAATTGAGGGATGCACAAATTAGTTGCTAGTTTTGTTTGTATGTGTCACAAACAAAACAAACTATTCAAAAATACTTTGTTCACAGACACATAATGTGTGCCATTATGACATCTGCTTAAGTGGCTTTTAGCCATTTAGATGGCATTTAGTGAGAGAGAAACATTCAGAAGGAGAGGATAGGAGTACTATCTGGGCTCTTACTATTTTCTCTCAAGCGGGCTTCGATAAGCACAAGAAATACAGTAATATAAAATATGATTTCCTCATTACTTAGTAAGTATGCCCAAACTCTCCTCCTGTCTTCTTATGTATTTTCAAAATATAAGTTACAACAGCTGTATTAAAATATGCAATGAAAATGTAATTATCTTGGAATTATCAGACAGCATTATCTCTTAATATCCATCCATTTTCTAAACCACTTATTTCCTAATGGGGTCACGGGGGACTGGAGCCTCACACTCCCTCCTAAGACCTAACATGCAGATTTTCGGACGGCGGGAAGATGACAGAGAACCCACAGGGAGAAAATGCAAACATAGAAAGCTTCCTGGTTCCCCAGGGGACTCAAACCCAGAACCATCTTGCTGTGAGGCGATGGTGCTAACCACCACACCACCGTGCCGCCCGCCTTTTAGGTCAATGGATCGTTTCGCCCACTTATTACAGCAACATTGATACTTCTGATGAGTAAAATTAAGCATGTGTCCAAGGAAAAAATGTGCATTGTCCAGTGTCATATCTGTATTTAACTGAAACGACTAGTTCAAGAAAGCTTAAATTTACCCCAAAATAAGACATTTCTACGTATAAAACAAGAGAAGAGATACATAACAGACTCTTACCAATGTTAAACCTCCTGTCATAATCTGTTTGATGCAATGTTGTGCATGTAATGAATTGTTTATATGTTGTCAGTGAGAGGGAAAATGGAATTGCTCACTGATGCAATTTCACTACATTACATTTTGCACATACCATGATACATTTTAACTGAAAAAAAAGAAATCACCCTAACTGGTTAAAAATTATACAAACAGCATATATTGAGTTAAAGATGGTTTCCTTTACTTTTTTCGGTAATGTGCTGGCAGCTTAACTGGATGGAAAAATTTTCTCACTCGCAAGTATCCAGCCTTGCAGAAAGCACTCTTGCCTCTGACCAGCGACCGAGACACCATGTTGCAATTGAGGGTTTTTGCATCGATTATGCTCTTATGGATACTGGTGTCTGCTGCAAAAGATGGACGTGAGGAAGCAAAAAAGCCTCCAGTAAGAATCCTTTTTGGAGTTTAAACACTGTCTTACTGAGTGTAAGGAAGTATTGTGGGCTGAGAGGAAGAGAAAAGCTATGAAGCAGCTTTCTTATTTTTGCAGATGGGGATTGTAAATATTCCGAACAATGACTTCCAAGGAGACTCAGAAGCTGGCCCTGAAGAAGCTCAAAATGCTGATGGTGAGGTTTATTTCAAAAGATAAATAGTTTTGAGCAACTATTTAAAAGGTGATTATGCAACACTTGCATAGGCATTCTTCCACATTTTTGTGAATGTAGCTAAAGCCCGCATTATGTAATAATGGGGTTGATCAAGTGTCCTCTTCCAAACTCCGCCTGGGGTATTTTGGGCTGTGCAGCCATCCCGCTCAGACCAGTTTGCTGACTTATTCGTTAGGTAACCTGTGTCTTTGCAATGAATTGTATGAAAACATGCAACTGTTTCCAGAGCTGCCAACGTGTCTAATGTGTGTGTGCCTGAGCGGATCCGTTTACTGTGAGGAGGTGTCCCCAGACATGACCGCCGTTCCATCCCTGCCGAAGGAAACACTGTACCTTTACGCACGTTTCAACAAAATCTCCAAAATAAGAAACAGTGATTTTGCTGACACAGGTATAAAGAGGAGCTATAGTATTCACAAAAATTCATCTTCTTTAGTTATTTTCACTGTTTATGATTTACAACTTTTATTTCTGGATTTTCCAGCTACACTGAGGAGAATTGACCTAACTGGTAATCTCATTGCTGAGATTGAGGATGGAGCTTTTTCCAAACTGCCCCATCTTGAGGAGCTCACTCTTGCAGAAAACAGACTAACTAAACTCCCCTTGCTGCCCATGAAGTTAGTATCGTTTAATGCCAATTCCAACAGGCTGAAATCCCAGGGTGTAAAGGCAGCTGCATTTAAAGTGAGTTGGCAGGTCAGCCCGATGACCTCATGTTAAATGGTGCAAGACGTGTCTTGCTGGCATGTTGTTAAACATACGTAAATATATCATATACTGGCCTTTTTTTTGTAACAGAAACTCACCAGCCTGGCATATCTTTACCTTGGAAACAATGAACTGGCAGAAGTGCCCCAACTTCCAGAGTCTCTTCAGGTTGTGCACCTGCATGTAAGTTTTACTGTTGTTCACATCTATCGAAGCAGCAACTGGGAAATGATGCCTGAAAGGGACTTGTTGTTAGTTACATAATAGGGCAACATTGTGTGTTTGGACCACAGAACAACAAGATCTCAGCGATAACAGATGAGACTTTCTGCAAAGGTAACACCAGCCACTACATCCGGCCCAACTTGGACCAGGTGAGGCTGGATGGGAACCCCGTCAAGCTGTCACAGCACCCGAACAGCTTCATCTGCCTGCAGACCCTCCCTATTGGCTGGTACAACTAGGATAAAGAGCAAGTAAAAAATAAAACCAAAAATACATATTGTTTTCGAAGAGGTAGTTCTTGAGAAGAGGTTCTGTGTGAACTGAATGATGGTAGGGTAAGTTGCAAAGATATTATGAAATAAAACAAAATATTAAAACATCACAGAACAAAGTTTTATGACATTTTTATGGAGTCAATAAACCAAAAGAACAGATTTCTGCCATGTGAATTTAACACACAAAAGCAAAAACATAAAAAATAAATAGTAACTGTTTTTGTCCTCTTTAGTTTACAGTGTGTCTTAATAGGTGCTTTGAAATGTTTTCAAGATGATACACAGATACAATTTTGGTTTGGTTACCACATAGAAATGAGACTTCAGTTGCAATGACTGTCAAGCTTTGGTCTCACATCAGCTGCATTTTCACTGCAGTGTTCTTTAATGGCCCAAAAAAAACCCAATGAAACCTGCATGCTAGAAAGAATTTCTCCATCATCTTTAACTTTGACTTGTCAATAATGTTAATAAGGGTGACACAAGTATGTACACAAGTGTTGTCACATCTCCGAACCACTCCAACCGCTGTTCACTTGGCTGCAGGCTGATTGAGAACTGACAGGCCATCTCCTATCTTCTGCTGGTATGATCGCTCTGATTGTTTCCGTCGGTAGACATCGTCTGAAATTAAGAAAAATACATTTCTGAAATGTTATAAATACCCCATGTGAGCACATCTGGAATATCAAGAAATGGGTTTGGAGGGCTGTATTCTCACATTAGTTTTATTTTGCTTTTAAGACTTTTAACCGGGGCATTCTCAGGCCCAGCTACAGAAACATTGACACAAAGTCAGCCATGTGTCATATGTGTCATATTTAGGCTTTATTAATGCGTAGAAGAGTAACATGCTTTGAAATAGTTATGACTCACGACTATTAATGATATTTCTACAGTCGTAACATGCACAGTAAAATATTTTAGAACTACTGTAAAGATGTAGACAGTTCTCGGATACAAAAATATTTCATATTTCTGGGCATTTACTTAGATACAAATGAGAACATGTGAAGGAAAAAAAGCGCTGTTGGCGCTGCTACAGACTTTCAGTTTCTAAAAATGATCGTGAAAAGCAAAAGAAGAAGAAGTTAGAGGGCAGGTCTGTTAAGGTTATTGTGTGCTGCGTTCATGTGTTCCAAGAAAATCATAATAATCATACTGTTATGACAAAAGTAACGTCGCGCCTTATACGTCACGAACATTTGAGGCCATTCATGTGAAACTACCATTAAAAATGTCGGAGCTATTTGGCACCTGTTTTTTAATTTATTTACACTGCTGACAGGCTGACACTGTCCCAAACACGTCGGTTTAAACGTGCCTGTAAAAGAAACATTAAACGTGGTGCAATTCAATACTCACAGAAAGTTTCGCTTCCTATTCTAACATTTATCATGATCCACTCCATGATTCCGCCGATGCAGAAGAAGACAGGTAGGAACCTGTACGGCCCCAGCCGTTTCCCGGGGAATAAATCCAACAATTTTTTCACGGTTTCACTTCTTTGAAACATTGCTACTAAGAGCCATAAACTATTTGTGTGCCAAACGTTGTCAGCACCTTCATGTGTACGGTTAAAAAATGTCCTTCGAAGACGTTACGAGAGCAACTAGCATGGCGTGGTACGCTTGTTTCTGACTACTGCTAAGCCGAACGGGCGGGGCTACGTAGAACGCAACAACGGATCAACTGCTGCTCGGTAGTGGCTGATAAAACGAACGCATTTGAGGAGTCGTAACTTCCGGTCGTGTCGAACAGCATGTTGATCCTCTGACAATAAAAATAAAGTCTACCGATCATGTAAAGCTCAAAGCTGCCCTGAGCTGACATTAGACAAGTAGAATTTATTTAGATGCGTTTAAGATATAGTACATGATAGTTTATCCAGATTATGCTTTCTCATTCTGGGCAAGGGGATTAACGACACATAATGAAAATATATCAATATGTGTGACATTTTATTGTGGTTCCCATGGTAGCAAGTATTTCTCTATAGATTTTGACTGAATGAGGGAAATAAAAAAGCTGACTGGTTATTTTATCTTGACTTTTGTATATGCTGACAGCATGGTATGTTCTCTGTTTCTTGAGAGGAAAAGACTCTTGGGAGTCTCGATGTGTAAATTATAGGGGTTTCAGTATGCTATTAAAAGGGGGGATGCATCGTTAGCTTTTGTTCCATACCCATATAGTACCAGGAACTGGCAATTAACAAATCCTTAAGTGATCTTTAAATGCTATATATCAAAGGGAACGCTTGGTCACATATGCCAGCGTTCCCCATCTCTTTATCTATTGGTTTTAAACAAAGTTTAATTCTCCATTTTCACTTTGAAATATATCTATTTTCTACATAACTAACACCCCCACATACGTAATACATGTCTATAAACATGCATTTATGAAGGTGTTGCGATTTCCACTGTTTTCAACAAGAAAATTGAAAAAAAAAAGACAGCACAAAATGGCTTCCTGGATGCAAATCTAATAAGGGTACAAGAAATTGTGCTCACAATGAAAGATAACCAAAGATGTTTTAAGAGCTTATGAAGTTGTATGGTTTAACAGTTGATAACGCTCAAATTTCTTTCCAAACCCGCATTAAAAAGCAAACCAGGACAAAAATATTTTAGAGAAAGCCTGTCGTAAATGTGTATCCTATGATATTTTAGGATTTGTAACAAAATAAATTAAAAAAAAGTTATTTCAATTAAGACTTTTCACTGGGTTTAAGATTTGTTGAGAAAGTAAGGAACTTTTGGTGGGTGGTTGTTAGAACGGCTCATAAACTGCACAAGCTGGTTAGTGAAATTAAATACACCAATGGGTTTATTCTGACTGAGATGACCAAACACATCCCTGTCGATTTGACAGTATGCCATGATATGATGAAGTACACCGCTTACACATACATTACACAAACACAAGACACTCAGACACATACATCAACTACTGGGGGCTTCAGAAATAGTACCTCACACGTAAAATGGGGCTAGGACACAAGTTTTACTCAACAAAAACCTACTGGGCTAAAGGTAATCTTAAATTACTGTAGAATAATTGTAATAATCACAAAAAAGGACACTCCTGACACACTGGAGTTTGAAATGTAACTTGATCAGACAACTTCTGCAATTTCTTTGACCTTTTGTACAAACTGAGGTTGTAATATATATGTATGCTTTTGAATATTAATATCTGGTATCATAATTTGGCACCAAGTCTCAAATAACAGGTCCTACTAAAAAAAAAGAGGGAAAAAAAGGATACTTTTATCAAACCACAGCGAGCCACATCTTCTTACGGAGAGAGAAAACCATTGTGTTCCATCAGTCTGATACAAGTTTCTTAACCAAAACGAAATCACAACTCCTCTTAAAATATTAGCTGTGTGGACCTTACAATCAAAAATTAATATGAAATGTGCCTCATAGCACAAATGATAGTGTTACATTAAATCAGACAAATAAATTAAGAATTTATTTAAATTTGCTTTTGCTACTGTCTGGACTTTGAGCTTTTTCAAACTAAAACAAACTGATCCAAAATATTAAAAAAACAAAATATTTCGTGATACATTACATTTACATACTTTTTTTTTCTAAAATGATTTCTGTAAGACAAAGACCAACCCTACATAGTTTTCAGTCTTCAACTTTGTGAGCAGGCCTACAGAAAGTCCAGTGATGCTCCACGGTGTTCTCGTTTGCACGCTCACTCATGTGATGCACACGCGTGTTCCGAATGGTGAAGCCTTGTTTCATGATATAGTCCATAAGGTGAACCCGAAGGGACACCTCCTGATGATAGTCACATGGTCCGAAGGTGAAGGAAACCTGACAGTCTCTGGTGTCCATCATGTGTTTGTTCCATTTGGTGAAGTTGTTGGAAATACCCTCCAACAAGGCATGAACCTTGGTCGTTATGGTAAGCTGCGTGATGATAACAGCAACTGGGTTTGAGTACTTTGACAGTTTCCTAGTGCTAGAAAGCTCAACGACCTGCTCAAAGATGTCAGGTGGGTACAGTGGCTTGGGATCATGAAGGCACTGGATCAGTGGTTCAATCTGATAGAAATCTGCCTCCTTCCTCAGCAGGTCTGTCTCCGTGAAATCCACAGGAAGCGTCAGCTCAGACGTCCGCAGGAAATTCAGGATATAACGGAAAAGTGTTCCGTCGCGATCGATGAAATAGTTACCCTGGGAATCTCGCGTAGTGGGAAAATCTCCCCGGAACATGGCGCCCAGCATGGAGTCTGGATAGCGCTGCAGGGTGGATATACTGGTGGTGTACAGGTGGCCTCCCACGTTCAAGGTAACAGGAGTGGTCATCTAGAGAAAAGGGTTTGCTAACTTAGCTAACTTACTGAGGAAGACAGCAACAATATGAACAATAAAGGAATATAAACATTTACGTTGACATATAATGTAAAAACACCCCTTTAATAAAGGGAAGATGTACTGATTTGTATAAGAATCCAGTTTAAGATACATTCAAGTTGAATAGGTAACATGATGAATAAAATATTAATAATATCCTTGTCACGAACATTGGCTGGATTTTCACACTTACCCTATGGCCCCAGTCTCCATTATCCATTTGTAGAGGAGTACGGAGAGGGTACAATCAAAGATTCTCTTTTTTTTAACTTCACCTGTGGGAAAAATAATTCATATTAGCATTTACTGTATTGAAAAAAAGCATTGGGAAAACAAGAAACAGTGGTTTAGACTAAGTCTAACTGTGATGATATTTAGCCCCAGAAGATGACTTCTGATCCTTTAGAGCTCTGATGAGAAGGAAGGATTTTTAATGAGATGAGATGGAATAAAAAAAAAAAAAAAGAACCTCAGTGAGTAATCTTGGTTTTCCTAACCGTGAACTCCATGTGCAAGTGAGGAGTATTATCAGTTTCCGTAAACTGGTCACATTTCATGACCAAAGCACCAAAAATCCCACTCAAATTAAATGCAGCCTCCATGGTGCACGATGACTGCTGATGCACCTCAGCCATTGTCCTGGATGTTTTCTGCAGTCTGGGCTCCTTACAGCACCAAGCATCGATGCCTGGATATGTGGTACTGAACAGCTCTTTCCCACCTTTGATGCAAAGGCATTCAAGGAATCAAATTCAACTGGAGGCTAGTTTTAGGCTCCATCTACGGATTAAATTGGTGCCATTCCACCCCTACCCAAAACAGCTATATTTGACGTTTTTTAGGGTTAATTGTTTCCGTATTTTAAATCCTAGGACAAAACCTAATATTACACAAAGAAGCTATGACGGTGCTTTGTTAATTATTATTATTTCCAAACTCAATGATAAACGTCAAATTTTTTCATGGTCGCGTGCAAAGGTCATCAACGGGGAACAGAAACGATAATGCAACCTAACTTTTCATTTATTCCAGATGTATCCTCAAAGGCTTACAGAGCATTTAGTTCAATCTAATAAATTATGACCGTTCTTCGACAGAAGTAGTTTTCTAGCTGGGTGAATTCTGGAAAAAAAACGAGCTCCACAGAGTTACTTTTATTGCCTTCTGAGAAATGTATTGCATTTGCAGGCATGAAAATGAAAGAGGCTGAAAAACGAGCCGTCACCGAAAGCAACGAAGTCCATTTTTAAAGTTCAATAATCTATCAAAGTACAATCAGCTCCGGTGAATTTTCAAGCGTCAAATACACGGGGGAGACCAAAGTGTAAATGTTAAACGCATATAGCCTTTAGCTTGGCTAACTGCTAGTTTCCTGGCTAACAAAGCTAGCATCTAATTGAGGCTAGCTGCATTTATAACCAAGGTTAAAATCCGGACTACCATGAAGTGAAAGTGGGATAGAAAACAAAGCCTCACCAAATGTTTTAAAGGGCTTGCTTTTATTTTTCGTCCTGCAGTCGATTAGTGTTTCACTGTGAGACCACACAGTCACTGATGTCTGCCACTCTCACCGGATAGCTGTCCGCGTTTCCAGGTTGCAGCAAAACTGCGCACACTAGGAGGATAAAGAAGGGAGGAGGTCCTGCTGCAATTACAGGCACCTCTGCATAAACACATCCACACAGACAGAGCTGAACTGTCCTCCTCTGATCAGGAGCCCGGGAAGTCCCGAGGCTTCTGGTCTTACTCACACAAACGCATACTAGAAACACAGGGTACATCTAAAAAGAGAAAAATTCTACAAAAAGCCACAACAAAGAGGCACAGAGAGAGTCAATTGAGACTTACACAGCTATAGCCGACTGTAAAAGCAAAGATGCAAAATGACCATGAATACAAATATTGGTTACAAAATGGAAGAAGAAATGATCAAAATGAGACATGTGAATTGCACTAACATTTACACAACATTTATTATACTGATCCAGTTTACATCTGTGCTCATATTTGGAAAATATTCCAAAACAACAGGGGCGCTGCCTTAACATACAATTCTGAACTGTGTCGTCATAAAGATGACATATTCACACACTGTTTTCTGCTCAAGAAGATTTCTTTGTGCCACCCCTGGCATTTTGTTGCAAGATAATGAATTCCAGGATAAGTTTGGCTGTCCGACAAGGTTTTTCCATCACCACGGAGTGGCCACAGTTATCCAGCAGGTCCACCCGACATCCAGGCAGCATCTCTGAAATGACTGTGGCTCCGGAGACATCTACCACCTAGGCAAACGGGAGACAATAAATACATGATACTCTGGTTTCTTCATTGCCAATACACAGGGTTTGAGTAACCTTGAGCTACAATTACAATTTCATACCTATCCTCTGGAATTCATTTGGGAGCAAAGGCTGATATCAACTCTCAACAGTATGAATATCGATATTACCTGATCTTGTTTGCCCCATATGACTTGTAAAGGTGAAGTAATAAGATGTAAATGTTCCTGTAAGGCATATCTTGATTTCTCACCAACAATCTCCATGAATACTTATGAAAGAAAAAAAATAGGATTTTATTTTTTGACATGGCAACACCAAGATGTAAGAAGGATCTTGCTGAGCACAGTGTACTAACCTTCTTGGTAGAATGAGTTGTGGGGTTCCCGGACATCAACCAGTCCCTGAAGAATCTTAAGAATGAAAACACAGCTTTTTAATTCCAAATATTTTGGTGCAGCTCTTCATCTCGTGTGAGTGAACAGAAATTAAATTCTCCTTTCAGAGGTGGGCCTGACCTGCTGAGGAATTTTAAAGCGAACATGCGAACACAGTCTGAACATGTCCTCCATCTCTTCGGTTGTCTCGGGGATCAGCGGGATGTTCAGCGTGTAGTTGCTGTGTTCAAGGTCCTGCAGGTGGTTGTCAAATTTGGTTTCACATGGATGCCTTACACCTGTGGGATGAAACCAGTGCCTCACTATTAAGAAGCTGACGTTGTATGAACACATTTTGATTGGAACAGCTTACTCACAAGCTATGAAATTTCCATTTATGCTCTGAATTAAATCATTGGCTTTTAAAAATGCACCAGTAATGTACATATTACATGCACATATTAGGTTTTGGTTAGCTGCACATTGTGACTACAGAAATTTCACCAATAACCCCGTAAATAATTACTGAAATGAATGTACAGACACGTGTGTGGTGACTGACCATCTGGACAAATGAGAGTCATGCTACAGATTTCTGAAGCATAGTAGGCTGCGTAAACCCCTGCTACATTTCCTCCCATGGAGGTTCCAACCAAATGGAATGGCTTCCTGTTTAAGCGAATGGTTTCCACAAACTGTGAAGAAAGAAGCAGATTTGTGAAATGACAAATACATGTGACACCTCTTTGCTGTACAGCTGCTCATTTATTGCTTTCCAATGCTCTGTCCTCATTGTATGTACCTGATGGATCCTTCTGACCTGCCCCTGAATGGAATAATCATCTGAGTTAGTGCGTGTCGTCCCTTCGTGGCCAGGCATGTCCACACAGACAATGTGCAGGTGTTTTGGTAAATACTACAGCAGTGGAGAACGACAAAGAATATGCCTCAGTCCCATATGCTGAATATTATATTGACCAGACGCCTGGCTGACCACACATTTTCTGCTTTTTGTTCATGCAATGTCTTCATAAAACTAAATTCTTTGACATTAAAAAACAAAGACGTCGTAGGAATCATGAATATCCTTTGAAATGATTCTTTTAAATAATAAAAGGTAAAGATGCTTACAAGAATAGTTGGTTTGCTCATGTGTGTTGCTGTTATTACGTTGAAAATGTCTGAGTTGAATCTGAGAAGTATGTGCTCTTATAAGGAAGTCTAATCCCGGCAAGGCTTTATTTTCACTCCCTCTAACCTTGACAACAGTCAGCCATGTGTCTTTGTGAGCAGAGAAGCCATGAAGCATCAGGATGGAAGGTCTCATCCCGGGCCTCCCTCTGTAGGAGTAACAGAAGCGATAACCGCCACAGTCTGCATGGCGTACCTGCAGGCCCAAAGTCCTCCTCCAGTACCTAAGGACAACCAGGCATATCTGATCTTACAGAATAAGGCATGAGCTCAGTGAGACTGAAAACTGAGCCAGTTACTAATGCACTCTACTCAGAAGTTTGTCTTTTTAAAAAACCCTTGATTCCATCTTTTAATTTTCCATCTATGGTATCTATGATTAAAGCTGATTCTAACCTTCTTGCAGCATATGTACTCAATTTTTTAAAAATGGATTTAATCTTATTCATTTATTTATTTCAAACATGCAAAAAGCAAACAATAGTAACAGTTCTAGAAAAATAAGAACACAAATGGAATGATTGAAAACTGAAGAGAGGAAATAATATGGATATAATATAATTTGTTCTCCAAAGTGATCACCACATTAAAAATAAACTGCATGTTCCCCCAGAGATGTCTATCTTACCAATAATACACTTTGATTAACACAGATGGCCAGAGAAGGAAGGAAGCCAGAAAGGCCAGGATGGGAATAGCCAATGTCGCTCCGGCAATCACAAACAAGTTCGCCACATCGAGCTCGGCTGCCATGGTCGACCTAAAAACATGTGAACGCTCACACTAAACTCTGGGCCATCAGACAGAAATATTTGACAATTACTGAAAAATGAAGTCAATAATATAAGTAACAAAGACTTCTAGCGAGCCCAGCTAACATGACACATTTCTGTCATAGTGTGCATTTCAAAAACATAAACTTACCTCTCAGACCAGCTTTAGTTCTTCCCTAGTCTTTTCTATCACAGCTTGACACATGTGAACTCTGTTCCAGGTGTTATTTTGTTGGTTAGTTAAACAGGAAGGATATGCAGCTGAGTTTCTTTTTTATTTTTGATGTGTGAAAAAAACAAGTTGTAGAGGGCAGCTAGCTCTGTCAGATTATGTTTGGTCTGTTGAAACTCATTGATTACTAGTCATCATCAGGAGAAAGCAGGACACTACATTATTCAGCCAATCTTTTAAAGTGAACGCCCAGGGTATAGTCTTACTTTTGTCTTTTATTACTATCTCTCCTATTAGTACTAACACTGTATCACCTGCAATAAGTGGTACATAATATATTCTCACCATTTTTGCAAAAAAAAGCTTCATTTATTTCATGAGAAGTGATCGTACCTTCCCGCAGCTGCGTATCTCTTTGCTACGTCATTAGTGAGAGCCTTTTATTTAAAATTTTTATTTGATTGCATGAAAGATGCCTGCATATTGATATCCTCAGTTAGCCTGAAAAAAAAAACACATTTAAATAATTTTAACAGCTCAAGCTGAGGGCCAAAAATCACCACAAGGTGTCATGATAGAGGCAGGCTGTAGAGCGTTGTTTACCTTCGTGAGTAGATTTGATGGTGACTTGCACAGACCGTTGAGTGTCATCACATCCACACGCGATATGTTAACATCATTTCTGCTTTAGTTCTTTGAGCCGCTGCGGGGTATCTGGGTACAGACACACATAGGTGCACTGGAGGCAGAGGCACTACAGATGTGGATCTTAACGTCCGTCCTGAAAAGTTATAAGCCTAGTTATTGTCAATGTAATATCTTATCAGGACAAATTTTCCCCACATTTCTATATTTAGTACATTTCTAGCTGACGTTACTAAGCTAACAACCTCTTGCACTTCAGGAATGCCTGTCTTTGAGAAACACACATTTCTTCCAGATGACTGTTGATAAGTGTTGCAGGTATACTGATAGCAGTATTCTCTCTGTGAAATTGATTTCTTTACCATGGTTGCTCACCAGATCTGTAGGAAAACAGATTATCTGTCGAGTACACTGTAAAAACACCACTGTCCTGTACATTGTTATCCTGCTGCATCTCCGTTCCACAGATGACCTACATACTGTACAAACTGGAGCAGAAAAAATGGACATGGTAAATGTGCAGTGATGCTTGTCTTGCATGAGAAAGATTCTTATATTTGAGTTTATACAGGGCAGAGGGGATGTCCTAAGTCAGCTCCTATGTCAAAGGTGTATCTCCAAACAATACGGTTGAAATCTAAATAGTGTCTGTTGCCGGTTGCATTAAATCCTGCAAATATATTCCTGACAGAGCAAAACTAACAGAACAAAAATGACAGTGCCGGTATGGGGAAAAGAAAATGCATGTCATGATGAGTGATTCATACTTACATGTGGACTGATATATTCTTGAGCAATGACTTCATGAATATTGTGAAAATGAAAATTTAGTAACATCCTGTTGAGAAATATGCAGCATCCTCCCGAACAGAAAGAGCAGCATGTTCTCAGAATGCTTATGTAGAACAAAGGACTTCACTTTTTGTGAAACACTGAGCAGAAGAGACTTCCCAGGCATGGTTGGATTTCTGAAGGGGGATCCCCGAGCCACACCCTCAAAAGACAGCTCCACATTAAGGTGGATTAGTTAGTTATCTATTAAATGAATGGATTTGCGTGCACTCCGGAACAGTGTCGCCCCAAAGGCAGACAAACAGTCTGGACATATTTTTTCTTTGAACCAAATTCGTATGGATATTTTTTTCTGAGAAAACACAGATTCCTGAAACATTTTTCTGTGCTGCTGGAAGGTTACTCTGTTTTTTGTTCTGCATTTCTATGGCAACAAAAACCTGTTGCAACAACTAACTGAGCTTTACAAGTCCATGATATGTCTAGAGAAATATCTCAAATCAAGATGAATTAAA